AGTCATACACAGTCAGACATTAGAGACAAATTTATTTATGACACATACAGAGGTGAGTTCAAAATCAAGACAAAATAAATGGAGCAAGCTGAATTCTACCCAAAGTTAAGTTAATTTTGTTCATTCACATTTGTCTAAATAAAAACAGCCTGGTTGTATATGTGTGTATATCTATACACTAATTCTAGGGCTTTGGATTTAGATTTATTCATCTTCTTTGATATGAGTCTGCAATCCCATATCTTAACTACATAACATTTTATTTCCCCTTAAGCTCACAAATGTTTTCTGTGTCTAACAGACAGTGAATAGCACTTCTGTGGTGAACCCTTGAATCATATGTCTTGAATATGTCAGGTGTAGGACTCTAACCAGAGTCCAAAGATCTTTTTTCTTTGATTCTTCATGGTAAAAAAAAAAAGACCGCTCTTCTTTTACAGCTCTATAGCAGACAAAGTAAGATTTAATGTATCACATTTACAATTTCGAACCAATCAGATTTTCATCTTACTTAACAGAAACCCATTATCTATCTAAAAACAGCAAGCCTCCAAGCATAATGCTGCCACCACCATACCTCAAAGTATACATTGTGTTCCGTTGGTGATGCTCAGGAATCCTGAAAGTGACAGATTTAGTTGAGGTTTACAGATTTTTTTTTAACTTTATGTTAAACAATCATTGATGATGCAAGATTTAATACTTATAACTGAATACTATAATCAAGTACATTTACAATCAGTGGTGAAAGTTAGCTCCTGAAAAACTCAAAAGCCCAATTGTTATGCCTGGAAATAATAGAGCAAATATTGAACTTGTTGATTTATTAAATCTCAACCCAGCAGTGAAAAGGAATACTGTTTTCCAAAAAACTCCCAGAAAGTTTTACAAGTTTATATAACTTTTCACAGTAATAATAAAAGCTGGAACCTTGGAAACGAAAGAGATTTTATTTCTTTATGAAGGTGGATTTTCACACGTTTGCCGAGAATCTCTGCTTCTGTCTCCTTGAACCCCAGTCGGCCATGGCAGATGGACGCTCACACTGAGCCTGGTTCTGCTGGAGTTTTCTTCCTGTTAAAAGGGGGTTTTTCCTCTCCACTGTCACTACAAGCATGCTTAGTGTGAGTGATTGCATTTGAGTCAATGAGTCGATGCAATCAACTGGTTCTCCTTAGATAGAAAACTTTGAATCAATTTGACTGTGGCTGCGTCTCAATTCGCAGGCTGCGTCCTCGGAAGTACGCAGCCTGCGAATTGAGACGCAGCCTGTATGATCTGGTGAACTATAAAGTGCCTTGAGATGATATGTGTCGTGAATTGGCGCTATCTAAATGAACTGAATTGAATCTGATGAGGAAGATTTGAAGTTTAACTTTTTAAAAGTAATGCCGTGATGTTTGTAAAGAGGATATCAGATCATATCAGAGGGACTTTTTTTTTTAGTGTGTTTACTATTTGTAATATTTTTTGCTGCTTGTTAGTCAACATTGAAGCTCTGCACAAACTATAATAGCAGGGAAAAGCTGAATTTCTTTTTTCTTTTTTTTTCTTTTTTGGGTCATTGTGGATATATATTATTTTAAACCTCACACATTATCTGCATACAATGTATCCACTGTCTGTAAAATGTCCCAGAATGCAAATATCTTATAAATTTTTTAACGTATTTTTATTTTTCCATCTAACATGGATTGTTTAACTTTTGTTTTGTATTTGACAAAACATCAAACCTCTTAGGAGATTTCAATCATTTCATAATAAAGTAAAGTAAAATTAAAGTAGAAACTCACTAAAGTAGTGAGATGAAAGATTTTTGCAGACCGTGCAGTTACAGATTAATCCCAGAAGGTGGCGATAGTAAAACATCTCTCTCTGACATACCATTCCTTTATAAAGTCAGCGTGTATTTAAAAACGTCTACAGTTTTTTAATGCCAAAAAAGATAAAAACAAAAAATAAAAAGAGAAAAGGAAGTAAAAAAAAAAAAAAATCTAGTAGATAAATATATGCTCTAAATGTACTGAGATTTTGTTTAGAAAGCCAAAATGTTGGTTTAACATGAACAGTGTGTCACCTAAAATGTTTTTAGATATTTTATTTTACACACAAAAATGCAAAGAACCTTTCTCAAAATATAAAGAGATAACTGTAGCCCCAAGAATTCCTATGTTTGCATTGACTTGACATAGAAAGCGTTTTAAAACTAGGGCTGCAAATAATGATTATTTTTGCAAATCAATTGAGCTTTTCGGATTAATATTCGGAAAAGGTTCCTTAATAAGACTTTTTACGAAATTATACCAGGTGAAACTAAAGATTTTTTTTTACTTGAGGCATTCGGGATAGTGTGTATTGACAGATAAAAGTTTTTTTTTAATCTTAAATGTAAAATGTTTACTTATTCTTTTACAATTTCGGTATAATTGCTGCTCTAAGTGGGTTGCTCTGTCAGCTAAAGGCACGTTTGAGAGTCTCTGCACTCCAGTTAACTAAATTAGTAGACAATTATTTCAATAGTTGATTAATCACGGTTAATCTGTTTAATCTGATTAATTGTTTTAGCTCTAATTAAAACATTTACATGGGAAAAGATAGAGAGAATACATGCCTCTGCTTTTTTCAATATAAAATACATTTTTTGGTTTATAATTCCTGAATTGTAACTTAGCCAAAATCATAAGCAATATTAATTGACAAAGTTTTAAGGCTGATCAAAATTATGTTTCATTTCTGACTGTAGCTCACTCAGATCCTTATAACATGTGTTTCTACAGTATGACATATGAATAACAGGGACCTCTTCATTTGAGGTCATGTTACGTTTACTAAGAGATTTAGTTTTTTCACTCCAACCCTTTAGTTGGCTGTAATAGGCTTAAAGTTGGGCTGCTGCCATACAGAAGGGAGCCGGATGTTGCTGCTAGAGCACAGATCCAATCCAGAGGAGTACAATACAGCTTATACCATCTCTGATATTGATATTTTACATGTTTAAGTTTAGTATCACATCCCACTTCTGGCCTTTATATGTTTTTTTGCTATTTTATGTTTGTTTGCTTTTTTGTCAGGGATTTGGAAAAGGGTTTATAGGTAACTACTTTAACATAATATTGATTTGATAAACAAAGACAATCAAAAAACTAAAACAAAAAAAAACTTGATTGTATTTTCTTCTTGAATAAAAAAGTGACAATGTAATTGGAGAGCAAATTAAAACAAAATCTCTTTTAAGCACAGTGCTGATAAGCTACAATACAAAATTAAAGCAAAAAAAGTAGCTATTTCTGGATATTTGTTAAGTTGAAAACATCTAAAAAAAAAAAAAGAAAATATATATATATATATATATATATATATATATATATATATATAAACACAATAAACATAAGTGTAAAAGTTTGAAAAATAATCCTCAGACACTGTGCTTTGTTGCCCTTTTTGCAAAACAGAACCAGTACAATAGAATGAATCCAGTCCTGGTACCAACTCTGTATGGATATTATCAGTATATTGGATTGATCTGCACACCAATAAAGGAAGCACTTTTCCATGAACAGTAGTCCTCTGACATAAACTCTGGACTAGAGACCAAAAAGGCAGAGAAAACAATAAAAGACTATTTTTTAGCTGCACTATGCACCTATGTTCAACTCATTCTATTATATCAATAAAAAAGCTTCAAATTCTTGGTTTTATTAGATTATAGAAAGATGTTTATTTTAAGGAATATGTGTTGCTGGTGGTTAGCGCAGAGGATAGATTGAAAAAAAAATATTGAGATCTTTAGTAAAATCTCAGAGCATATATTTGTAGATATATATACAAAAATTAATTTTATTTAGGTTGGAAGCAGATATCTACACAGGAGAGAGAAACGTTTTACCATACTGAGGATTTGATTCTGTTCTGATCTCCAGACACCAGTTTGGCCTCTGTTTCCACAGACAGAGCAGATTTGGGTTTTCTCAGCAGCACTGGGTCACTTGGCCAGACATCTTTGGGAACATTTGAGGTTTTGTGGTCTGGTGTCCTTACATCCAAGCTGTTTGTGTGCTTTGACTTCCTCTGAGCCTAATTTACACACACTAAGGAGATTGACAGACAGGAGAACCCGCCGCACACGCACTGACCTAATAAACAATAAAAAAAACAGACGTTCTCAGCACCCCATCCGGGCCTAACTCATAAATACACTCATTTAAACACTAAACAGGGTGGAATACATTAAGTTTTCTTATTTAATCTATATATAGATATATATGCATATGTATAACTAAATCCAAGTAAAGTGATAGTGACGTGCAAAAATAGTGAACAAATGTCAATTACAGAGGGGGGGTGTCTACTTGCTAAAATTATGAATTAGAAAATACTGTCTGAAATACAGCCAAATGTTTCCAAAGTTTTTCTATTTTAAAGTAGGCAAAAAAAGTATCTTTCCAAAGTATGTAGTACTTTATATCATATATGTAACACATTATGCACTTTATTACATATATGATTTAAAGATTTAAAGGAAAACAAAACTTCTTGCAATAGAGCATAAGAATGTTTTTCGGACAAATTAGTGGGAAAATGTTCCTTATCTGATAAATAAGTCAAAATAATACCTATTGATTATTTTTAAATGTTGTATATAAAGTAGTTTTTACCTGTCTTGTAGACAGATTATAATCTCAATGGACAGACACAAACAAGTATCTTTTGTCTGTCAGAACAAATTTGAATAAAATCAACAAAAAGAAAAAATCAATATGAAGGAAAAATGGGTTCTCTTGTTTTTCCAATTATCAGTCTAATTTAGAATCCCAAACCAACACGTCTCCTCCTCTCTGTATTTAAGTCTGACTTACAATCATCATGTTTGTTTGTAATTTTCTTCAACCCTGAAGCAGCCATCTGCTGAGCTCTCTGGGCTGCCAGTCAAAGAGGAATTAATCAGGCCACTTCCTCCCATGCTGAGATGTAGGTGAGCTGGCTGTGTGACGAGAGCGTCAGGAGCTGAGGTCCAACATTTGGATGCTGTTTAAAGGGATTTGGAAACTGCAAATCAAATTAAAAAGCCACGTTTGTCAGAGCTGCAGATTTGATTAGGCCCTCATCCCTGATGTGTGTAGAAAAGATTAGACAGTGGAAAGACAGGGTGAGGTAACAGGTAACAAGGTGTGGCTTGTAAAAGAAAGAAATAACAAAGGACAAGAAGGAAGAGGAGGAGGAGAGGAAAACCAGAGGAGAGAGACAATGAAAGAGAGGGAATGAGCTGAGCCCTCTGAAGTAAATCTCTCTCAATCTGATCAGCGTATGAGGAGGTGGACAAACCATTCAACAAGTGAAGATAAACAAGCACTGAGGTAAGAACTCTTCTCTTCAACAATAAAAGACAGACTTTCCTGCAACTAAAGATAAACATGTGGTGTAAGAGATTGATTTATTTGCATTTTATTATAACAGTAAAATAATTTAGCTAAATTACACTAAAGAACTTTTGTTGTTTTTAAAATCCTCTGGACAACTCAGCTTTTCTGCTTCTAGTTAACTCTGCCTTCCCAGAACCAAACATAGAGAATCAGCATTTAGTTCATATGTTCCATCTATCTGGAACAAACTTACAATCTCCCAGAAAACTCCTAGGAAACTGAAGAAAAAAAACAACACATTGAGTTTCTGATATTTAACTATTATGATAAAAAAGCTGATTAATTTCAGATTTTAGTCCAACTTTTCTATTACTTTTCTGCTTTTTAGACTTGCACTGTCTTACCTCGTCTTTTAACTGTAACATAAACCCCAATAAACCTGAAAAACATTTTAATATTAAATAAACATGTTTTTCACATGCTTAAGGTAAACCTTTTTGTTCTTCCTTATATACTTTCTCTGTTCCTATTATCAATACTATAAAAGTTTGAGATACTACAAAAGACAGACAGAGAATGATTTAACTGTTAGAATTTGTCTTTTTACTAAGTTTTTGATTATTGTAGATTATTTATGTGTCAATGACAATTTGTTTTATAGGAGTATGCTATGAATAATAGCTGACACAATATGTGGACTGTTTAAAATCACAGGACCTCAGAGAACCTGGTATTAAATCTTACATGAAGAAATTATTTCACTGTCCTTTGTCCCCATTGACCATAATCCAAATACCCAACTTTGCATTTTCTAATAACTTAATTTCAATATATATTAAAATCTTACTTTTTCTTAAACTGAATTAGCTCTAATTTACTTTTATAGAATAAAATCTCAACCAGGAAGATAATTAAAGCTTAAAATCTAAAGAAATACTGACAGCCAGATGTTTTTAACACCATCTCCTGTTTAACAAATATGGAGCTTTGGTTAAAGATAAAACCATAAAGAGCTGACTTTTAATTACACGTCTCAGCAAATTGGTCAGTTTCTAACCCGAGCCTAATCACTCAGCTTCAGGATCCACCCGGACCATATGTTGCTGGGATGTTGCACGACCCCACAGGCTGCAAGTGGATTAACACCGACCCATACACACCAACACACCAAGGAGTGAGCAAGCCGACCTAACCCTAACTAATATGGCACAGCAACTGTCTCTAATTAGGTTAATTGAGGGAACCTGTGGGTGATAATAAACTTAGGTCTAAATGATGGAGATTGGGTGTGACATGATTTTGTGGCACGACCATCTGTCTCCTTAAAGCTCTTTTAATCTCCAGGGGAACAGGAGATACAGGAAAAAGAGCAAATGATTCATTTAAGAGATTCATTTGCTTATAAACTGCTTTTAGAATAAAACCTGGGGGAGATCTAACAAAATATTAACCTGCCCTCCAATTTTTCTCTTTTGTTTTATTATTGATGAAATCAAGGGAATAATGCATGAAGTTTGAGCTCCAATACTCTCTGATGGGCTGGTCACAGAGAGCAACAGGTGGTCAACAGGGTTTAGAGGCCGCTTTATGTGTGTGCCATTTCAAAATGCCGACATTGTACAATAAAGGACATCATGCAGAGAGGTCAGCTGCCTTATATAGAAACATACTGTGCATCGGGGCCCATTTTGCATTGCCTCAGGGTACAACCACAAGTGCTTGTGTATTTCACTGCTATTTTATCTAATAGAAAAAAAGTAGCGCATGATTTCAAGTGGAACAAAACAAGCGCGCATTGTTTCACAATATCTGACTGAATACATCGACAAAGTGTGACATGTAGTTGTATTCCCTTCTCTTTACTCTGAACCCCTACAGAAAATCAAATGTGCAGTTACTCTGAAAATGTGTCCATCTCAGAATGAAATCAGCTGTTGTATGAAGGCATCTATGGTTAACTAGTGTTCACAGGTCATAAAATCATCCCCAAATCCTTCAACATCTCACTGAGCACTGCTCACCTGATCATGGGAAAAAGAGCTCCTCTCCAATCTTCTTTGATCTAATCTGTGTGCAACAAAGCAAATTCATTCAGTGCAGAAAATAAGTTGAAAATAAAACATTTTACTAATTATGTCTCCAAATGATCTGTTTCGTTTACTTATTAAAAGAAAAAAATGAAACAATTTATGGAAGGCTATGAAAACTTTTCTATGTCTGTTCAACAAAATGTTGGTGCAAACCTACCAAGTTACACTTGACTAGTTGATCTAACAGGCTGGGTAATGTGAGAATTATTCAGAGAAAGAGTCAACAGGGCCATAGTAACTCTGGAGGAGCAGCAGGATCCACAGCTCAGGTGATGGAACCTGTAAGTGTTAGAGCAGACAGAGGCGAGAAGGAAATGGTTGTTAAAAAGCTGTTATAGAAAGGTCCATTTGCATAGTTCTAATATTAAAACACGGTGTTGGCTACATCATGCTGTGGTGTTGTTTTTCCTCTGAAGGCATAACAAAGTCCAGATGTAAATCTAGTTTTCCCATAGGATTTTTCCATAAACCTTCTCTATAAAATGTGACGGAGCCTAAATCAACCTCAGAGGAAAAGTTGGTGAAGTGTTTAGTCTTAGAAGAACAAAGCTTGCAACCTTTATCCAACATTTCAGGGCAGACAGAGTTTTATTCTTAAAAATAATGAAAACTTATTGCAATTTTTGTTTTTATTCCCCGTTCTGCACAGCTTGTGTTGTTTTACATGAAATCCATCAATAATTTAATACAATTTTGTGATAATGAAATGAAAAAATTTGAAAAAGCCTGAAGGGTCAGCGATTGTAAGGCATAGTTATTTGATTATACTAGAAATCCATTTGTGGTCCATGACATCGCATTAATTAAACAAATATAAATGTTTGGGACGGTCCATTAGTTTGTCCCTTTCCTAAGGAGTTTTTCTAAGGAATTTTTCTAAAGAGTCAAATGTTCCGGTCGGGATGACTGACCTCTGACAGGAGCTAATCCTCATCTGGAAGGACTTCCTGTTTTGTCTTGGAACATTAAAGGTTCTTTGTCACACGCTCTGACGTTGACCAAGTCCATAGACGTCACATCTTGAAGAAGGTTTAGTTTAAAGTCTGACAGGGGAGCAGCCAAGAGCTAAAAACAGACTTTTTTCCAATGCCTTTTCACCTTTGTGGGCAAATCCGTAATAAAACAATAAGTTTCACCCCGTAAAGCTTCAGCTGGATCGTGTCTGAGAGTTTCTGTAGACTTAGGGTTCCATGAAACAGTAGCTTTATCAATACATTCAAATAAAAAGTTTTTCCTAATGGTTGATATTTTTTTTTTTCAGGTTTTCTTACTGTTTTGTGACCCATGATCTCTCAGACGGTTCTTATTGTGGGTGCAGGAGCTATTCTTGGTCCTTTATGTCTTCGCACAGCAGAAACTTCAGAGCATCCTCTACTTCACCAGCATCACAGATTGTAAAGTGAAGCCAAGTTTTTAGGTGGTTTTGGCTGAACATTGGATGGAGATCATGGGAAACCCTATGCTCTTTCTCCCTGTGATTTTTTCCTTACTTCACCTTGTGTCCCTTACATCAAGTTCAGACTTCAGCTATGGAGCCCACCCACGTTTCGTCTGCACCCCGATTCCTGCAGATGCAGACCCTTCCTGCTTCCCGAGTCCGGGATCTACAGGCCCCGGGTCACAAAACCATCAGAACGCCCCTCCTAGTGGCTGGTGGGGTGCTAGCGATGAGGCTAAAGCCTCCATCCTCCATCTCAGGGAGAGCCTCGTGCAGCAGAAGGAGATCATCCTCGACCAGAGGGAGACCATCAGAGAGCTGACAGCCAAGCTCACCCTGTGTGAGGGCGTCGGGCGAGGCGTGTCGCTTCATGATGAGCACCATGGCTCTGTGTCATACTCTCATCACAGAGGAGTGCCTGTTCACCACACATCATACACCGAAAACAGTCACTATGGCAACGGCAGACTCATCCCAGACTCACAGCACCACCCATCCTCTGTCCAAAGAAGGGACGGAGCGAAGGACAAACATATGGGGGCAGGGGACAGCACTTCATCAACAGAGCAGATGGAGCGGATGCTGCAGGCGCTGAAGGAGAGGCTGAACAACCTGCAGGTGAGCAGAAAGCTGGATGTAAAAACTGAACTTTGCATAACATATAAACCAGTAAATATCAGCTATTGAATAATAGCTGATAGGTCCTTACTTTGTAGAGCCTCTCTTTGGTAGAATGACATCTTTTCCACTTCATCTCTACCAGTTTTTACGCATCCAGTTCAGACGTTTCTTTTGCCATATCTTGTTTCATAAATAGCTGATTAGATGAAAAGCATACTTGAACATCAGTTTAAAAGTCATGGTGCAGGTTCTCACATCAATTTAAGTTTGGACTTTGACTGACTTTGGCCGTCAGTGGTTCTTACTGTCATTTGCAATTTTCTTGCACGATTGCTTCATGTTTAGTTTTATTTATCTTCCCATTTAAGTTTACTAGCTTCCCTAAAAACTGCCTCAATCATTTTTTATTTTTTTATTTTTTTATTTATTTCTTTTTCACCAGTGGTGACCTCAGTGGTGAATCCAGACATCTGGATTTATCCTGAGATTAAAATACACACATTTAACAAATTAGGAAAACAGTTGCGCTTTATTGAGGGACTATGGAGGAAAGAGGGGTGACTAGAAATCTATGCAAAACTGAACTCTTTTTTAAATACATTTTAAAACCAGAAAACTATAAATAATTTACCTTCAAAATCATAATTATGTGCGACTCTATGCCGATCCAGCACCAAAGAAAAGACTTACAGGAAATACGAAAGTTCGTGTTTTTAGCGTTACCAAATGAGCAAAGCACGTTGCAGGAGGGGGAGAGAAAAGTTAAATGGAGGTGGAGGGAGGAAGTGGTGTCCCCATGTGGGATGGGATGCATTAATACTGCTGTCACGAGGCTCTTTGTTGAAGTCCCAGACTGTTGGATCACTGAGCACTTAAGGCAAAAGAACAATGAATTACTTAATCTCATAAAGCCATCCATTCCTTTGGCAGGGGAGACACTCTTAAAGTCATAGATAACCACCTGATATCAGCACCCGGCTCAAAACGAAGCTGAAGATGCGTCTCCACAAGTAGAAAGAAAAGGTTGATTAAAATGGTGGATGTATGTGGGTGTATTTATGCCGTTTGTCTTCTCAGGACTGTGATCATAGAGAGATGTCAGGATCTGTGGGAGTGGGTGTATAGAAGATCAGCTATAATTATGGTGATCTCCCTTGACAGACAGTAATCAGGGCGACCTGCAGGACAAAGCCTGGATTACATGAGAGGAGGAGAAGCACAGACAGAATACACGAGGAACAGAGAAGCTCTGTCTTAGAAGAAAAGATGATTAGTATATAATGAAGCTTTGTAAACAAAGCACACAAACACGTGTCGATGTGTTACTTTTTAGGCTAATTTGCACCAGACTGTTTTGTAATGAGCTCGTTCTTTATATCATCCTCCTAGCAGAAGAGGAACACTTCCAGCACTTATTCCAGCTCTCTGAAGGAGCTTCTGCAAAGGAAGATCAGCACCTTGGAGGAGCAGCTGCACCATGTAGGCAGCAGCCCAGAACACCACCACCACCATGATGATGATGATGATGAAGACTCCAGCCACAGAGACGACGAAGACCACCACGAGGACGGCCATGGCTCTGATGCCCATGACCATGACAATAACAACGGACACCACAATGTTCATGACGACGAAAGCGACCAATCGGACCATCACGGCGACAGCCACAGTGACAACCACCACGGTGGAGGTCCTGGGGAACACCATGATGATGGTAGTCATGAGGAGGAGGAGGAGGAAGAGCAGGAGGAGGACGATCACAGGAGTAATGAAGCAGACAATCACAGTTACCTCCCACACACCGGCTACAGAACCGGGTTCCAATCTAACAAACTGGAAACGATGCTCAACCAGCTGCACCTGACAGGTAAAGGTCACATCATTTTCACAGTTGAATCCCACTAGATTAATGTACATGCATAAACCCACCACCTGTCTTTAGAAATAGGCAGGACTGTGCAAATGTTTTGGGTCAAATTAAGTTGGCTCAACAAGTAATATATTTCATTGAAAATTGTCAGTAAATTAACTGAAACTTAGTTGAAAAACAATAAAACATTAACAAAAAATTAACAGAAAACCTGAAAAACTGTGAAATATCAAAGACGACTGAGCTCCTCAGAGGTTCATTTGTTGAAACTTGTGCTGAAAAATCAATCACAATCACTCTTATTTCACATTTTTTAAACTACTACAAGTAAAAGTAATTTATTCTGCATATTAAAACTTCTGCAGCTTTAAACATAAGTAATTTTTACCATATCTGCCTCCACAGCTTCCAACAGGAAACATTCGGAAAACCTGGATGCCTTCCAGATCAGTTTTCCGATGAGGACTAACTACATGTACGGCAGGATGAAGAGGACACTCCTGCAGGAGATCTTCGCTCTGACCTTGTGCCTCTGGATGAAGGCAGGAGTTGGACCTGGACTGGGGACTCCTTTCTCCTATTCTGCACCAGGACAGGCCAATGAACTGGTTCTCATCGAGTGGGGGAACAACCCCATAGAACTTCTGGTGGATGACAAGGTGAGGGCAAACAAGAGCAAAAGAAAAAAAAATGCCATGAAAATGTTTTTGTTTCATTTAGCATGATAAATAAAAGCATTGCTTTTTATTTAGGCCTATATTTTAGGCCTCTTTATTATCAACTATATGGTAGCACACACTGGGACATAATGAAAAAAAACAAACACAAAAGTGTCCCTGAACACATTTCAGTTATCATCCCATCAACTATTAGGTCATGCATCAAGCTGATGACACCCAGATTCTACCATAATGCCCTTCTCATAGTTCCGAATGAAATATTACATTTTTATTAGAGATTCCTTCAAATTAATTCTATTATTTGTGAAAACTACACACATTTTTTGTTGGTTTTCTCACTATCACTTTCTCTTAAAGGGAAAATTCACCATGAGATTTACTTCATGGGTTTCTAAAACCCTGTTAACTTTACTTCTGCTGTAAAAAAGTGTCCTTTAAGCACCATCTTTGTTTCATCAGTCCACAGAACGTAAGATGTTTGACTGTAGCTCACTGGCTGGAGATGTCAGTTTGCAAGATGAGCATTATGGGATCAGTTCCAGTTTCCTGATGCTAAATGTCAATTTACCTCTGGTTTAGTCAGTAACCCCTCAGGTTTCATCCCAGTCTGTGTGTGAGTGAGGAGTGGTGGTTAGGACATAGCGCTTGGAATCCAGAGGTTCCGCGTTCGAGCCCCACTCCCACAGACTGCCACTCTGGGTCCCAGAGCAGGACCCTTAACCCCACACTGCTCCCCGGGCACCGCACAATGGCAGCCGACTACTCCCTAAGGGGATGGGTTAAATGCAGAGAGTTCATTTCAATCCTCTGTACTTGTGACAGTGTAATGACAATTTTAAAAAGCTGGAATGTGTCCACTCTAGTAAAGGTGATTAGGTAAATGTCGCTCTAACACGAAGCACTTTGAGAGGCTGGCATTAATAGAAAAGGGCAATACAATATTTATTTACATTTTCCATCCATCCATTTTCCATCACGCTTATCCCAGCTGGGGTCACGAGGCATGCTGGTCCCTGTCTTCAGCTGTTAACAGACGAGAGGCGGGGTACACCCTGGAAAGGTCACCAGTCCATCGCCAGGGAAACACAGAGACAAACAACCATTCACACACACACTCACACCTAAGGAGAATTTAGAGAAGCCCAGGAACCTAACAGTCATGTTTTTGGACTGTTGGAGGAAGCCGGAGTACCTGGAGAGAACCCACGCATGCACAGGGAGAACATGCAAACTCTAGAAAGACCCCGGGCCGGGATCTGAGCCCGAAACTTTCTTGCTGCAAGGCAACCTTATAATATTTACATTTTCTTTAGACCAGATTACACAATTACTAACTTGTTATGACACTTTTATTGCTTCCTAATTTATGCATTGCTGTATTACTAAGTATTACTTTTTTAACAAAACCTGAACAAAAAAATTTCCCTTATAAAATAAATAAAACCTTTTTGCAAACAGTGACACTGCAGAATCATGATCAACTTTAATAGCCAGATTTGTGGGCACAATCAAGAACTTTTACATCATACTTAAACCACAACCGAACTATGTAAAAATCACACCCTAGTATGGTTAGGTCATCGTAACCATGCTCTAAGCTACAATAGTGATTGTATTAGATTTGATTATCGCCAATCTTTTCTTCACATGTTGTACTTGAATTCCACTATTGTCTCAAAATGCAAACCTTTATAAGAAGATGCATTTCTCTGGTGCACAGGCTGTGACGCTGCCCTTATCTCTGACCGATGGGAAGTGGCACCATGTTTGTGTGACGTGGACCACGAGGGATGGACAGTGGGAGGCCTACCAGGACGGTGTGCAGAGGGGGTCTGGGACGAACCTCTCTCCCTGGCACTCCATTAAACCCGGAGGGGTCTTCATCCTGGGACAGGAGCAGGTAAAGATGACTCCCATATAAGAAGAAAAAGGCAAATAAGTGTCTAACTTTATGTTTTCTTTCGGTTAAAACATTCCCATTCATGAACTTATAAAAAAAAAAACCCCCGTGAAGATCAGAAGGTGACATTTTATCCCACTCTCCGCTTTCAGGACACTCTTGGAGGTCGTTTTGATGCCACTCAGTCGTATGTAGGGGAGATGTCAGACCTGCACATGTGGTCGCACACACTGAGCGCCTCTGACATCTACAGCCTGGCCTCCTGCGGCAGCCACCTCCGAGGAGATGTCATCGACTGGTCGGAGTCAGAGGTAGAGCTTCACGGTGGCGTTGCAAGGTATCCCTTTGATCCCTGCCACTAAAGCTTTACCCACTGAAGAAGAACCATAAGAAATCAATCAGTGATTGGACTTTGAATCTTCAGACTGTATGCCTTTCTTTCAACTATTTCTCCTCAAATGTTGGAAAAAGGATAGAAATGAAGCCTGACTGTTTTTACAGAGAAAATATAGAGCATTCTCTGCCATCTATGAATTAGTGTTTTATTATAAACAGACAAGTGCTGACTGTGACATATTGTCATGATGTGAATAAGAATGCGTTCAGTTCTGTGTGGCTGTGAACAGAACCTAAATGGTTCGACAGGATAGAGTGAGTTTGATAAAGTTTTTGTTGTGAAATATCTTCATACTTTGGATTCTTTTGTTAAAGGTTTCCATGAATCATACAGCTAATTTACCAAAGAAGACATAGAAGTCGAGTTTCTTTCATCTATTTTCTGTGTAAATCTACATGTAAACATAGATCTCAAATAGTTTAGAGTTGTACCCCCTGGTTTGATTGCCTCAACAATGTGTGTTATTTTGCTTTGTTTCTATTTATTTTCCCAATATTTGTCCTCTCAATGCATGTTTTTTTCACAGAACAAACCTTTAATATTCACTGCCCTTTAGTTGATTTAGTAACTCCTAACTTTAGTGTACTGAGGTCATTGCACTGTGGCTTCCAAGTCATTTTGGCCTTTATTGTATATTTGTACAGTATGTGATACATTGAAGATATTAGCAAATGTTTTATCTCTGTTATTCTGTGTTCTTGTTGACATGTAATTAAAGCAAAAAACTAAAACATTTTGTCTACTCAGTGTTTAATGTGTTGATCATTACTGAAAGTGTTTACAGGTAAATCTTATTCAGGTAATTGTCCTTCAACCTACCAGCCCTGATGAGAACTTAAACTTGCTTTAATTTTCTGAAACATTTCTTTTTGATTTGATTATATCTGTAATTCAACTCCTGGGTGTAGACCAGCTCGGGTAAAAGTCACCAATAATATTCTCAAGGCCTCAGATAATAGACACAATATCGTTTTAGAAAGGCTTTAGATTGCTGTAGGAATTCCCTGGTTTAAATCCTATTTCTCTGACAAGTGTTACATGTGGAGCACCACAGGGATCAGTGCTAGGGACAACTCTCTTTACTATATGCTTCCAATTAGTAGAATTATTAAACTGCAAGCGATTCATTTCCAGTTATACTGATGAAACTGAGCAAAATCTGTCCACAAACACTTATGAAACTGACCTGTAAGATAAACAACAGGCCCGTTTCAATGACACTTAAATTTTCCACTTTGAATTTAGACCAGATATGATTCTTTAAAAAGGAAGCTTATTAGACATATCATTTAGATTAAATCCACATTTTATCTGGATGATTATGAACTGGTCTGAGATCACGAAAAAAACCTTGGTTTAATTTTTGATCAGAACCTATTTGAATTCTGTAATTAATAGGATTCTATAATTTCATTATCATGTACGAAATATTGCAAAAATCAATATCAATAAAAGATGCTGAGAAACTAGTTATCCATTTTTCAAATTCAAGGCTGAACTATTGTAACCCTTTATCATTAGGAAACCCTACAAAATGTACTTTTCCTATCTTAACTTCCATTCATTGGTTTCATGTTGAATCCAAAATAAAATTTGAAGTTCTTCTCATGTATAAAGCCCTAAATAACTTGAGTTCATCTAGTATCAGATCAGATTGTCCCTATGCTCCTAACAGCATTTGGCTTTCAATCTGCCGGTTTACTAGTAGATCCTTGAATTTCTAAAAGCAAAATGGGAGGCAGGCAGATTTTTTTAGTTATCAGGCTCCTCTCCTTTGGATGTGAACTCAGAGAAAATAAAGACAGCACACAACAAATCTTGTTCACTTTTTAATTGTTACACAGTATTTTACTGGCACCAATGCATCGTAGTTTTCCTTTTGCTACATGTACAGATGATGAACCCATCTCTACCTCGAAGTAAACAAAAAATAAATAAATACAAAAAATCATTTTCTGAATGCAGTGGCTCTGTAGAGAAGCATCTCTTTCATTAGGGTCATTTTAGTCTTCATTCTTGCTTCTACCTGGACTCCGTTTTATTTTTTGGCAACTTTGAACATTAAAACATGAGAGTAGCATTATTAACAGTCCAGGTAATATTGGCAACAGAAGGATCAAAACAAACCAAAAATAGAGGATATTGTGACTTCATTTAAACATAGGATCTGACAGCCACTTTTAAAAGTTTAGATAACGGACAGGACATCTTAAAATAAACTCCCATTGTTTTTTGTTTTGTTTATGTGTGCGATTACCAACAGGAGGTGCCACATTGTATTGGAGTGAGTCAGAGTAACAGCATTTTCCCCCAAAATGCTAAACTTGATAAAGTGCTGCATATAGTAGCCCCCCCGCCCAAAAAAAAGAACAATCAAATATGTAGTTTATGACCTGGACGTTAAGCAAATCCATTTATGGCGACAAATTTGAACTTTTTCTATTGTCAGTTATTGATAAATCAAAGCTTAATTATTGTTTATCATTTAGCAAGCTCTTTTTAACATTTAAATTTCAGCTCATAATCCTTCTCAGACTTCCAAGGGTATATATCATCATATCTCAGACACAAAACAAATATTATCCTTTTAAACTTGAGAAGTTTCTAGCCTTTCTTACAGTAACATTTCAACTAAATTAGCCGTGTCAAATAGACCGCTGTTGAACACATTGAGTTAAGTAAAAAGTTAAGTAAAAACCCCAAAAACAAATCAGGAAATATTAATGAGCTTCATAACCTCTAACAAAATCTTACATTTTAGGGAAGCAACAACTAAAACATGAAGGAAAAGGGTGCAACTCAGTTTATGGCATGGCTAGAATTGAAAGCTGAAACAGGGAGTTAACAGTCAGACCAATGAGAAGACTATCAATTTTGCTCTTCTGGTGCAAAATACCTTTCAACTTCCATAATTAGATCTAAATAACCCCTCTTTCTAAACAATTCAAGTTGATGTTTGCTAAAAAAAAGCCTCACTAGTAATATAATTCTGATCAGTGTCTAAGGCATTTCAAATGTGACCGTAGCAACGGTGTGATACTTAGTATTTTAATGTGTCCTCCATTCAACATGTGTAATGTTAAACAGATTAAGTCATTAGAATAATAGTTTGATAGCTACATTATTCAGCGCAGGTAAATCCAAATGAGTCAAATGCAGAGTAAAGTGAGCCTCACACAACTGCTGCATGGCTAACAGATAGAAAAGAGGCCATTTTTGTGTGTGTCTGTGGACATCTGAGTGGCATTGCTAGGGAAGAAATTACAGCATCTGTCCGAATGTTGTCAAAATGTTTTAGTCGCGTTTTAGTTTTCTAACAAGTGGACATTTGACAGTAAATTCACAGCAAATTGTATACAGAGTGGACTCACCAAATTGCACTTTAAATCTCTGTGTGGAGTCCTGGTTTGCCAAGTCTCTATATCCGTGAACTCAAAATTCATTTATTTACTCAAACTCAAGTTAGAGACTTTGCCACTACTTATCTGCTGATGTGAGAGTTAATAGGGACATTAAACGTAACCTTCTCATTTTATTACACATTTCTAAATATCAGTCTGCAAGCCTGAACATATTTAAAAATAAATGTTGGAGAAGTGATGATATATACCCTTTAAGGTTAACAGCAAAGTGTGAGAAACCCACCTCTGCATGTGCTTTACAATTCTATTCCCTTAGTTAAAAAAAGGACCATTTAATCTCATATTTTCTAAAAGCTAACAAGCAGGATAACTTTAATGCATAAACCAACTTCAATATCAAACGTTATCTTTTCATGTAACCAGGAAACACATTTTCAAGTCAGCGCACTAACATGGTCGACCATGCATCAGTACCGATCACTGATCCTTCTGTCCAACATGCAGTAAAACAATAACTTGTACAAAAAGAAAATCAGATTTTAACAAAAGATAAATAATAAATTAAATCAAATCTATGCTTTTCGTAAACAAATATGCTAACTTCTATTTACAAAAAGTGTACATTGAAAAGAGCTGCCTTTGTGACTTCACAAAGCCCATCTTGGTGGACAGAGTTAAACAGATGAAGTTCATAGCGTTGAGCAAAAACAAAGATGATGTCATGCGGTTATGCTAATTCTGAAAAGACAAGATGAGATCAAACATTTAACAAGCCTCCAGACAGCAATGCTAGATTATGCTACTGCTCAAACATGTTGAGAAAAATGCTTAAGTTCATCCTGTATGTAGTGTTCCCACTATGAAATCCACTGTAATATACATTGATGACACTTTCCTTGTGATAATTGAGTAGTTAGGTCTGAATGTGAATTTACTGCCATTTGGAGTATTAAATTAGTGTTAAATTTCACAGCTCTATCAGCATAAAAACCTATTATTACTTCACATTTTTTTTCTCGGCTACACACAATCAAGAAAGGGAATATCTCATTAAGGCGACATCGATGATGGTTAAGGAGAATTTCATGAAGCTGCAGCTGCTTGAATAAAACTGTATTCACAGCATTTTGGAAAAATCTAAGAAACCTCTTGTAATGGGACTTTGTGATCCACACTAACCCTTTCAGGAAGTATTTGGAAAGTAAACAAGCCAAACAGTCCATCTTTGCAACATACCTTCAAAAAACCCGGTGCCTGCAAAACTTTGTTCTCTATAATCTGAACAACTAAAATATAAAAAGTCAATGCCAAACCATTCAAGTAACTTAAAGTGTATAAATCCCCAAAAGAGGCCAGCCAGTGTGGAAGAAAAAAAACAAAAAGAAAAAATATATATATAATTTGTAGTGTGGATAAAGTCTTCAAGATGCTTTTTAGCCTGTTTTACTAAGAGTGAAGACAAAAAGTAGTGTTATTGTGCTCCGGGTTGAGTGTGACAGCAGTAGTGTGAACGGCAGCCTCAGCAGCCAAACTTTTCACTCTGGTTGCAGCTTTTTCAGAGTCTGGTTGACAAGACAGGAAGAAGTCCTCAAAAGTGAAAGAGGACACATTTTTCAGGAAGAAGGAGGAGGAAGAAAGCTTAAAGAGAGGTGCGAGCAGCAGGGATGATAATAGGAGAAGGAGAGGAATACAGAAGTAACCTAAGGCTGCTCCTCTTTCTTCTTCAGTGATATACGCTTCTTCCTGGCAGCAAGCATTTCGTAGAAGGGATCCACACTAACTGCAGATCTAAGAAGAGGAAAGAGTGGAGAGTTTAAAATAAATGTGGACAAGCTCACAGGGAGATCAGAAGTGCAGCATAGTTAATATGTGGAAAGCAAAACAAAACAAAACTAATCTAGTTTCCTTCCGTATCAATGTTTTCTTACTTGATGCTGTGGATCCACTCGTCCTTCTCCTCCGGTGTGGGTGCAGAGATGCGGTACACCATGTGGTTCCCCTCCACCACCCTCCCATCAGCCTCTGTCTTGCATGCCTTAATGAGCTGCCCACGGTTGTTTGGGATGTACAGTTCAAAGCAGTTCTATATAAGAAAGGATGGAAACATTCGAGAACAAGAGAGAGTTACAGCATCCGTACCACTGAGAACAGGTCAGCTGACAACCTTTGCTGGGCATGGGGCCGCTGACCTGTTGTCCACCCAGTCGGCGGGTGCGTTTAAGAATATTAACAAAATGAATCCACTTAGACCTTTTGGTTAGGAGATGAACAACACTTACAGGCTTCCTTGGATCCTCTACTTCACGGATGCTAAGGTTTTCCAAAGGAATGATACCTCGTGGCTCCTTATCCTGTTAATAAAAAAAATTTTGTAAAATATATAAGTCAAGGCACTTTTATATTGATACATCATTACTTAAGCTTTTAGAGCGAAATGGTGTAAAATAACGACCTTTCCCCCCTTTTTAAATATATGTAGGCTATCTTTAAGAGGTTATACCTTTGATATGCATACAAATATGAGAAATTTAAGATTTCTAGATACACATTCTTAATCAAAATATTAAAATGAGTTATGAAATGGCTATAATTAACATTTCACACAAATTAATCTACACACATTCCGAATAGAAGTCCACAGATCCAAAATAACAATTAGGAGCAAGAGAAACACCTTTGAACAGGCTTTTATTTTAGGCTATTTCATTTGTAAAAGCTGTAGCAGTTCTGCTGCTAAGCCTGAACTCATCCTGGTAAAGCTAAAAAATAGTCCAGAAGCAAACAAAAGATTTCTGCCTTTTAAAGGAAAATCTTGCACAGGTCAAGTGTCCAGAAATATTTAGGTTGCTTCTAGAATTTTTTATATTATAAGCTAGTCTTAAGTTAACTTAAAACAACTGTTTATCAGTTGATCCCATGTTTAAGACCATAGCTTCAAAACAGAAAACCCCTACAAGCAGAAATCAAAGTGTCAAAAATAACTTGGTAATGAGCAGCTCCTACCAGGAGGCTGGTAAAAGGCAAATTGTTGTGATTAATAACTGGTCTTTAGATTTTAATCAGGAATGTATTACACTTCTACTCTAGCCAGTGGCATTACTCATAATAATATCATTTACAAATAAATCTGTCTCCTTAGGCGTAAAAGAAAACAGGGTATGTTCTGCAGTATTTCCACACAAAAAAAACAACATTCATTACAGCTTCAAAATCAGCCAATAACGGTCCAGACCATCCAGTCCTCAGGTTCTGTTTCCAGATAAGTTTCCTCTTGAATGTCACAGATTTAGATAAAGTAATAAATCAGGCTAATGACATAATTCCACTATTCAAATAAAATGTAAATTTCATTTATAACTAGAGGAACACCAACATGCTAAATTTTCATATTAGAGATACATTCATTGAATTCATTGTCTTGATGTTTTTGAAGCTAATATTGTAGTCAAATAGATTGTCATTATTCTGGATTTTAGTTTATGTCATTGCATCTCCTGCACTTTATGCTGTATTTAGTCAATGTTAAACCGGCCATAATAATTGTTTTACAAAAAGAAAAAAAATGCAACTATAGGCAAACTACAGCAGATACTGCCCCCTACAGGTCTGTAAGCAGCATTACAAAGAAAGCACTCCAAACTTTTACACCTTCTTCAGTCCTGTAGGAATGGGTGACCCCCTAAAAAAACCTACCAACAGTATCAGATCCCCAAAGTTAACCTAAGCAAACAGAGACTTACTGTGGTATATTCAAAGTAATAAAGACAGTTGTCTGTTAGGATGAACCATCGACGCTTCCAAGTTTTCACTCTTCCCCCTGAAAGAAACAAAAATCAATAGGAACCCATTTGTAACAAATGTTTAAAGGAAGTACAGGAAGAATTTTACTATAACACTACTCTACAATATCTACATTCTACCTACAAACTCCAGTTCTAATGTATATTCTTTTTCTACTTTATATCAAAACACTTTTTCAGTACATACCTCCTGAGAAAACAAGCAGCAGCAGTAGAGCATGGAAACAGCAGGAAAGAAGCAGAGACAAAGAGGAATTAGATGGAGACAACAGGAAAAGGGGAAAGAGTCTGTATTAGTGACATGGACCACAGGTCCCGTCATGCGAAAAGGACATAATCAGGACTGCCATAGCACAAGGGAGAGAATCTGTTCCACCATCATGCTATGACAATGTTTAGATAAAACAACAGCTTCTGGTGATTGTATCTAGTGGAGGCAGAGAGCAGCAAACCTCAGAGGCAAAAAGACAAGACTTAATACAACACAAAGCTTTGGAGATGATTGGAGAACAGTACAGAACTATTTTTTCATGAAAATGTATTCTTCAATCTCTGTAACAAATACTGCATTTATCAGCAACAGGTGGACAGGAGGTTAGAGCGAAACTAGAAGGCCGACGGCCTTGTTGGGAAAGCTCACCAAGTTTAAGAAGCCAGCCCTCTCTGTCTGGGTTGAAGAATGTGTGTGTGAGGTCATTGCCATCATCCTCCGGGATCTTAAATGGTTCATTCTTAATGCTATCATAAAGATTCTGAAAAAAACAAACAAAAAAAGAAGGCAAAAAGTGAACTCAGCATCCATTTCTTCCCATCCAAATGGACGACTTCATCATCAAGCTGATCGTACTCTGAGCAGCTCCTCTGGTAGGTCTCCTCCATCGTTGATGCCGCGGTTCATTGAGATGAAACGGTCCAAGCCAGGTTTGTCCCTCACATTGGGGTTATGCAGGCTTGTGTTCAGCATAATTATGGCAAATGAAAGCACATAACATGTGTCTGTGGACAGAGGAGAAAGCAGAAAACATTAAGAGACATGAACTAGACTGAACTTAAACAGGAGGGAATCCATCGATTTTTTCATTATGATCCAGGTCCATTACTAGGAGCACTTCATTTACCATTAAGCAGTTAAAGAGAGCAGCGCACATTGCTTACTCCTTTCAACCACTGGTCAATTACAGAAACAATCCATTAGTGACACGTTCTGCTTAAAAATAAAGGGGCAGATAAGCTAAACCAAATGTTTTGCACGTGTACAGATGAGTTTTTAAAAGCTTTTCTAAATTTTGACAGTACAAGCAGTCCAAACTACAATTTACATACATAGTAATAAGTCATGGCCACATATTTCACAATTCCTGAAGAGGTAAATGGCCAAACATCTGCTAGCAGTGGAAAGGTTTCCCAGATACGAGAGACAATATTAGCTTTTAATGTTTCATCCATGTAATGTATGGAAAAAGATAATTGTGGATTAAAGGCAGCACCTTTAAACAACACATTTTAGCTGTTAAATTATGTCCTGAGATAATAAACCACTGCAATAGCAGAGATAACACAACAAGCATATGTTTGGTAAATCATTGTCACGGATACATGAGATGCCTAAAACAGATTTAATCAGTTTCACTAGTTTTCTCTCACCCTTCAAATCTGCATGTACGCACACCAGTCAAAAATAATGATACAAACTACTCCTGAATTTGCATGTAAACCATTAAAATCATGGTGTTAAATGTGTGCATAAAACAGTCAAACTCAAGGTCATCATACTGCAAAGACCTAGCAGCTAATGCTTAATACAAGTCATTAAAAATGTAAATTATGAATCCTATCCAGTCTGTATGGTACCTTAAATGATAATCCGATTACCCTGAAAGATAAAAAGCTAAGGAAAATTGACCAACCCTTGGAACTTGATACATAGTCGCAAAGAATCAATGCATCAAAAAAACAAAACATGATTCTATCAACATGCATTTGAAAAGCAGCGCCTGCCAAAGTACTTCTGCTTTAAACAAAGGAATACAGAAAGAATGTGCCTCATCCAATAACAATTCAAGGAAGCAATGAAAACATAAACTGCTCTCATTGAAAGGTGGTGGGTATAAATATACTGTAGAGGACCCTGTGTGCAAACTATTACTGGTAAGTGAGAGAGTATGTGAGGGCAGCTTATCTGGAAAATAACTATGTTTCAACAATCAGGATTCTACTGAACTGGGAAAAAGTCCAAAAACAACAAATGGCAGATATTTCAATGCCAAAAGATGGATTTGATGCTTTCTTACCTGTGCTCTGGAAGACACCAGGGTTACAGTGGCAATATCTCTGAGCAAAAGCTTCCATCATTCTGTCAATCTTCTGGGCTTCGCCTGGCAAACGGAAACTCCACAGGAACTGTCTGCAGATCACAGGACAGGATTTACATCCAAGTTTCAAAGATCCAATTCTGCAATCCAAGCAGTCCTAAACAGCCCCTTTTGCCCTGCATCTGTGAATCTTGTATGCTTGCATTAATCAGGCTGTGTGTGTGTGGACCTTGTACTGTGCATGTATGAATCACATATGTGTATTTGTGAAAATTTAGACTGATCTAACTTCATATGACAATGGCTGGACAAGTCAAGAGATGAATGCTTTATTGAACACAGTAACAGAATAGTAAAAGTTCACCTGAGGGCCTGCACAAGGTTAAGGTCTGTAAACTCATGGAGGTCAACAAAAGCTTGAAGCACCTTGATGTTGAAGTCGTCTCTGCAGGAACAAAAGCTTCATATATTAACAAATCATTTTCACTAAAGAACCATAGAAATACATGTTTGTTTGCTGTTTAACTTTCACCTTTCTCCCAGGTAATCTCCTATAGCTGTCTTATTTAGGCCTTCTCCCTTGTATAAGAACTGTGCGATGTCCTCTGGTGTGTGTCTAAGCAGCTCGTTCTCCACCAGGAACAAAATCCCCTGCAAAAACACTGAAAGGTGAACAAACAGAAAAAGAACATTAAACAGAGGCACAGCAAAAAATCCAAGATGACAATACCTTTTTTGGGTCCATGTTGAACTTCTTCCGTCCCATAGCCACATGTCTACTTTTCTGTAAAGTTTTACTGAAGAAAACATGTAATGTCAAGAGTTAGAATATTTCCCTGGAGAAACATTTGATCACTTCCATTCACTGACATCCTGGCAATTCAAAAACAAAAATGCATTTACCTGCCCTCTGTACTGGTCTCCAGTCCCTCTACCTCTAAGATAGCCTCTCGTAGCTCCTCTCTGAGTCTCTGGATCTCCTGCAACAGGACACCTTTCCTCCTGCGAATATCCTCCAGCTCAGAGCGCTCCTCTGGGCTCAGGTCTACAGGAACTTCAGACGAAGAGATGAAGAATGAGTGCATTGCAGCACATCTAAGAAATAGCAAACTGTGCTCAAATAATCTAGGTTAAAATCAGTCTATTCTGGGATCAAAAACTTCGAAAGAAGCTTTATCGTTAGTCAAACTTCCAACAAAATGAAAATTCATTATAGGTGAAAATAAAAATGGAATTTTATTGGAAAATCTATACAAAGCGGCAGAGACAAAGTTCAGGTAAACAATAAGCATTTTTTAAACATATATTTACCTAATAAAACACACTGACAGGTATGATCAACAAAAAAACATCTGATTCTAGCTCATTACCAGCAAAACACATTTACAGCTTGGAAAATTATAGGTGAAACAAAAGGCAAGATACAGAAAATAAAGAACAAAAGGTTTTAAACACAATTTCATTGTCAAGATAAACAGATTAACATATACTGTTTTTTAATGACCCAGTCTAATTTACATTCTGCTCTTAAACAATAGCATTTAACGTATGCTAAAATATGCTTGTCTGGTTTAAAAAAGTAGAACCGAACAATATTTCTGCAAAAATGAGCACATAACAAAAAGGCTTTGTTAACCTGCAGCCTCAGACTTAAAATCTCTTTTGTTTAGAATTTCACCAGTCAGCTCTGCTTCTTTAAAGAGAACATGGGAGAATTTAAACTATGATTCCTTTCTATTTATTTATGAAATCAAATGTTTATCTTTATCTAAAGAAGCCTTTAACAACTGTAAAGATTATTACAACTAAATTATACCAGGTAAGCATCTATTTTGATGGCTGTAATCAAAACTTAAGTTTGGACTGAAAACGTTTTAATGTGGAATTCTGTTAGAACAAACTTAAGTTAGTAGAGTTATTCTAAAGTTGTAACACAGATGAAATAATGGAATTAATACAAATGCATGTCAATATGTGTTTGAAAAGTTCCAGTAGTTAATTCAACTCTATGATGCATACATTATCACTTCACTGAAAGAAAGATATTTAAACAACTCAAACAGTAGCAAAGACAATCCAAAACTCCTAGCTTATGCTAAAGTCTAGCAAACATCTGGAACTGTGCAATTAAATAGTTTTTAATTTTAGGTAAAATTAATAAAACAAAATATATGTTATTTAAACAAATGACCACATAATGTTTGCATATATACATTTTGTTTTATGTTGCTGTTTTTTAGATTTGAAATAAATACAAGATGCCATGAATAAAATGGTTCCCATAAGAGATAATGATTTATTTTCCCCAAGTTATCAAGAAGATCTTAAACCTGGTTAAACCTTAAGGGGGGGGGGGCACCTTAGTCTATTGTTTATTTGGATTGTGCTTTATTTATTGATAGTTCTACATCTTCTACGGGGCACCTTAGTCTATTGTTTATTTGGATTGTGCTTTATTTATTGATAGTTCAAAATTTACTAATTTATGTTAATGATAAATACATCGAAGCTAAAAAACACAACAGACTTCGAAATCCCAACAATGCCCCAGCTAGATAAAGGCCAATATGAGAAGCAGCAAACAGATGTTTTCAAAAACTACATATTTTAAAACAACAACAAAAAATGTTTACACCACTTTTTTTTTTACCAGTTTCGCACATAAATGGATAACTATTTGTTAAAACTTGCAAATGTGGCCCTTAAGCAGCAACTTGTTGTAAGACCAGTTTATTTAAAGCCCCAAAAACAATGAGCTGCCACGCCCACAGTCTGTTCTGATGAAAAAAACAGCATGTACTTATAATTAAACCATTTAAATTGTGTTTCCTGTGAAATAGTTTCGTTTTAGTATGACCTAAAATGAACTTAAAGGCTGGTTGAAATGCTAAACAGTGCACCGACATTAGCTGTTAAGTTAGCTCGGAACACTCATCAATATTTCATTAGCAGAGATAGTTACATTGCACGGTTTATAACCTGAATGAGGAATGAAGGAAAAACAATTTCAGAGAAAGCAGTCATCTCGCGTTTATGTATTGGGCCAGAGTTTTTGCCAACCTGTACGAATGATAAAACAGGCAACAAGCTATACCTGGCTAGCTGCGGTTAGCCACAGCAAACAACGACTTGCTAAGAACACTTACTGTAGTCCAGGTCATCCATTTTTGGTGCTTTACTTTTAGGCATAAATAGCTCAGAGTCGACTGTCATTAAATGTTAGAATATTTGGGATATATCGGTAAATATATCCTCAAAATTACAAAAAAAGAAAAAAGACAGACAACCTCCCCGGTGTCGAAATGTTGGGCCGTAGACAAAGAAGGTGGCGACACGGGAGGAGGCGTCTGATACTCGACTTCCGGTCAGTTAGTTTTCAAAGTAAAACATTTTCATGCTAAAAAAAAAAAATAATAATAATAATAATAAGAGTGCAGTTAATTCAAATGTTATATCACATGTTTTATATAGATAGTAAAGAGGCTATTTAAAAGTAGCAACCAGAAAACCAAACATGCAATATAAATGAATCCAGTTCGCCTTATAGTATCCATACTAAAATGCAGTAACACAGAATTCATACCCATTTGTTTTAACATTCTGACAAATAACAGCTATTTCAATACACTTAAGCAAAACACTGTATTGCAAAGGGATTTAGGTTAAAAAGTTTGCAAGCTCTTTTATGTTTTATAAGCTTTGCAGATCATGAGCAGATCATGAGCAACATTTGCAATAACGTACTTTAACTGTAATATGCAATTACCTTCCACTGCACTTTAATTTACATAGCTTCTGTCCAAACTTTATTTATTAATTTTATAGTAAAACCCATCTGTATATATGCTATTGTACATAACTGTAAAAACCCTTTTTATATTAATATCCACCTGTATATTATATTCGGTACATATCCAGCTGTAAATTTAGATCATAACACTAGTTATCTATATATTACATTTATCTATTAGTAAGATTCTGTTTATAATGGTATTCATCTCTATACTTATTCAGTAGAACCCATGTCCTGTATTTATAGAACCATTATTTATCCTGCACTTGCACTTCTGGTTAGACCTAAACTGCATTTCGTTGCCTTGTACCTGTACCTGTGTAATGACAATAAAGCTAATAAATCTAATCTAATCTAATCAGTTTTCTTGCAATGTTGTCGTCAAACGATAAAACCCAATCAGAAGAAATTATCTCACACCAGACAAACTTATGAAGATACATTTATTTGAAACAATTTATAACCATTATCTGTACACTCAATACGCACACATTTCGATTAATTTAGTAATATTACTATTTCATTCCAAGCAGCCCATTAAAGACAATTTTATGGCATTATCAACTCAGGAGTTGCACTGCAGCAATGTCCTATCAACTTGGTCTAGAAAACACCATGGTCCCAGCTATGGCCACAGACGAAGCTGTTGCCCCCAAAAAAGTAAACCATCAAAACTAGGCTCCACAACATTGTGAGTAGACAATTTGGCATATTTCTGTTCAAACTGTGTCTATTTTTTCCTATTTAGTGATAGCAAAAGCTTAAACTCAAAATGTTGTACTCCCATTCTGTAAATATGAAAGCATAGTGTAAAAACTGTACTGGACTACTGGCATTGTGCACTCAAAGGTGGAGAATAAACTTCCTGGTAAGCAAACAGGTCATTTTCAACAGCAGTAATTACAAGCTTTTTTTTTATACAAAGGCATTGATTAAAAAAATACAGTATGCTGATGGAGATCGTTGCAGTTGGCACATCTTCTGATTGACATATTGCACATGCTAATGATTCATCTTCAGACGAGGCAGCAGGTTCTACAGTAAGAAAACTGAGTTCTATAAGACAATTCAGGCTCAAAAACTGTTTCATTTGAATTAATTAGCTCAAAAACTATACTTTTCAGCAAGTTTTAACTGTAAAAGACAGTAATCTAACAGCCTCTTTCTGCAGCTGGTTTATTTCTTCAAGTTCAAGCTGGTATTTTAAACCCATTTCCCCACATAATCAATCATTTGATCCAACAATATATCCTTGCTTTATTTTAGTGTTGTCTTCTTTTTAGTCTCTTATGTTTTTTAAATTGTCAGTTATACCTTTCATACCTTTAAGTTTTCAAAATCCAACAATTTATAAAGCAATGTGACTTGGTTCATCATTTCTGTACATGGCAAGGTATTCTATTTTTTGTTTTTTACTTTTTACTTGGTTGTATTGAATAGTTTCTATGCATCGTAATTTAATGCTTCAAAATTCACTTTCTGTGCAGCATTGCTGAATCAACTGAGGCATCTCATCCAACTACGCTTTCTTCCACTTGTTCTTAAAGCTGAGGCCTAAGGCAATGATTATGTTTCAATAACAAAGTGGCTAAAAGCAGTGAGAAATCAGCTAGCTTTGTTCAGGCATTTCTATGTTCAACATGTTGCAAACACCAGTATCACTGACATCAGCAGCAGCGTGCATCCACTGGCTAAAACAAGCAGGCAGAACGCAAGTGTCAGTAAGGGTTAGCAAACAATCCAGAAAAGTCTTTTTGTCTTTTTTTGTAGCTTAAAACCGACATACTTAAGAGTTTGATAGGTTTAGACATTTTTTCTACTGTTGACTAATTAGAGAGTGTTTAAAAAAATAACATTGGGAAGAAGGAGATTAGTAAAACTGGAATGATTAAGTATTATTTTAATACTTTATCTTGAAGTTATTTCCTAGTTGGACTGATTAAAGGATTTGTTTGTTGCGTTTTCTTTTCATTAACTGTCAATATATACCAAGCAGTGGGCAACTAGTATCCTGATTTAGCATAAAGCTAGATTAGTCAGGCCTAAGGGCTGAGGCGAATGGGAAGCCCAAGATCAGCCAAGATCAAAGTGGACTTTCTGAAAATCTCAGATTACAAAGATGTTTAAGTTTTTTGTTTCACAAAACCTATCAACTAATACCAGGTTTGCTTTGAAAAGCTATCTGGACAAAAACCTCCAATTACAAAAAAAAAAATACATAAGATGGTGCATCCTAAATAATTTTCCAGCATGAAACATGATCTTGGAACAGAACCTTGACAGATATAATCCACATGGTGTAAATCCCAGAAATAACCTTAACTTAAAGCACTCTCATAAATTTTTGAACCCCCTCTTGATTTATTTAGGAAAGTTTCTCTGATCAGAAATGTTTTAGTTGTCGTGAAAAAGGAATAAATTGATAGCACACCATCTTTGACCCCAATCTCATGTGTTTTTAACCATGCCTTTCTGTCTATACAACAGTCTAAAGTAAACCTTATGACAGTTAAAAGAGCTTTCTTGTTTTTATTCATTATATTCTTTAGTCTGAGCTTTTTCCACCCAGTAGAAGTCCACTTTGAAACAGGCTCTGATTGGAGCTCCAGTTTTAGCCTCAGAGACCAAATCGACTTTATCCATATAAAAGAAACTAGAGGATTTGTCAAAAACATGTTAAGAGTTAAAATGCTTATAGCCTTTTAACATATTACTTAAAAAATCCTGAAATCTCTCTATCACTGTTTAGACTTAATATATAAGAGAATTAACACAAGTGCATCTGAGCTGTGCACTGACAGATACGGCATTACTTTAAGGAGAAAAAGTTTTTGTGTTTTAATTGCCAAACATGTGGAGGCGAGAGTCCAGAAAGAATTGCAGATTAAAGTATCGCAGAATTTTTTTTCTGCTCCAGAACTGTTTTATCTTGAATATTAACTTTATTTCTCATTGTCTAAGTGTAAGGCAATACCTAGTTAATGCTTCTCTGCATGCATACATTGTACACATTCAACTCATGCATCAGCTCCAAAAACCCCAAAAACATTCAATTAGTATTGTTATTCCTTCTTTTTATCTAGACTGTGCAGCTCCCCTTCCCCTTCCTAACGTGATCCAACACCTGTGCAACAAAGCGCATTTTTAAAATCATCTGTATAAAAAAAAAAAAAAAGTTTTCTTCAATTTAGTATTAATCCCCGCCATCATCCCTTTCATTATTCCCTACAAAATCTGATTCTTGCAAATAAGATTAGTGTCTCAAACAGCCCACTGTATGGTTCTCTCTTTGTGGGCATAATGGCAACAGAGATAATTCATTAGAGTATTGATATGTGGATAGATATAAGCTTAATAATCCCTTATCAAAGTCTGGTAATTTTGACACCAGTGTCTCCAACAATGAGACGGGCCATGGCGGGATGAACCTGTGAAAGATCAGAAAAAGATATGACTTAGTACAGATTACACAGCGTAATGTAACCATTTAAAGTACCAAAACCAATTAAATAATAGTTAAATTAGAAATAATCAACTTGTGAACGCATTCATTTCATTAAATTGTATTCTAAATTTCCTCCTCCGCAGTTCTGCACCAGATCAGTGTGATCAATCATAGAAATCACTTCATATATATAACATGACAAAGTTATGTACTGTGACTAACAGGCACTGTGTAGTGATCTTTCTAACCTGCGCTTGGAGCGGACCATAGGGCACAAGTTCCCCATCCACAGTTAGTGTTCCCCGTGTAGACAGCGGCTGCAGCCTGAAGGCCTTGCAGGTTACGTGGCTCACGTATGGCGAGCTGACAGTGTGGTGGGTTCCTTTTTCCATGGCAAAGAACAGTCTGAGTAGGGTGGCTCTGGAGATGCCTGCCCGGACAAAAGTCAGGTGGATCAGGCCATCATCAAATCTGGCCTGAGGTGCAGCATGAAGATCAGCCCCAAGGTGGGACTGATAAAGGGCCAAGACTAGGACAAAATCCCCTTCAATGGTGACCCAGTCTCTGGTGGGGAGGGGTTGATCAAGAGGCGGCAACAAGTCGTCTCTCGGTATATCAAAAGGCAGCGTGAAAAACGGACGGTTCTTTAGAGAACCTGCTGGTTCGGTCATGTCAAAGTCAAAAGACGAGGACGGCGTACGGAACGAGGGAGAGCTCAGGGTCGAATTAGGGGTGTTTGGACGGGGGGCGAGGTAGGACGATGAGTGCGGGGACGCACAGGATGGAGACGATGGTGGTGTGGGAGAAAAAGAGGGGGGAGTCATTTTAGGGGGAAGGGAATTGGAGCTGGAGTGCTGGAGGAGAGAGTGGGGTCTTGGACGGGAGGCATTATGGTTTTGGTCCAGAGCTTTCTGCTTGTAGGAGAAGGGATTGTGACGGAAGGGAGAGGAGATGGTGAGCGATCGCTCACGAGCCACATCCAGAGGGTAAGACTGTTTCTGGAAGTAGGTTTCATTCAGATCCATGTCCTCCATGCCGTATGAGATGCCAGAATCTCTGCTGGCTTCTTGACTGAGAGGCTGGCTCAGCAGAGTCTCTGCTATCTGGCTTGAAGGAGCAGAGTTCTTTCTTACCATCTCTCTGGCTTTCTGAGGACCATCCTGGCAAGCAGTGACATCTCCAGGCTCTTCTTGTGCCTCTCTCCCCATGTCCAACCCATAACTATCCCCCAATTCCCTCGCACGCAACACTCCATCTGCCTCTAGGGAACCACCACTACCTTCCTCATCCCCCCCATCGTCAACCTCCAACATTTCACAAGAGTCTTGCTCCGATGTTTCCTCATCTTCCCTTTCATCCTTAATCCCTGCCAACCTTTCGTCTCTTCCCATACTGGCTTCATCCCTTTCGGTTGACTCTGAACTTGTTCCGGACTTCTCTGAACAGGTTCCAGACTTCTCCTCTTCTGCCTCCATCTCCATCTGCCCCTCCCTTTCTCTGTCTTCCGCTAAACTGCTAGCTCTCACCACACCTGCTCCTTTTCCTCTCCCCCTCTGTCTTCTCCTTGTCCTCTCTCTCTGTCTCTCCTCTTTTTCCCTCTCACCATCACCCCTGCGCAGAAGGCTCCTCTGCTCACTGATGCCCATATCGGAGCAGGTGCGATGGATAGGCATTTTACAGAAGCCCTCCAGTCCCTCTGTAATGCTGCGGGAGAGGGGTCGTCTAGGTGGAGGTGTCCCATTTGAAGATGTGGTAACAACAGAAGGAGGAAGGTAAGATAAACGGCCTTTGTACGATCGAAGAGAAGCTATGCGCACCAAGGTGCCCAAAGTGAAGCGGGCCGAGCCCAAGCCACGATACCTGGAAAAAAACATAAAAAACTTAACTTAATTTCTGATGTCTTCCATCCTAAAGAGCTTTCCCACATTTTTGTTGTCATGTTTGAACCACAAATTCATTTCACTTGAATATTATGTGACACAGGAACGCCAAGCAGCCTATATTTGTCACGAAAAATAATCATTAATCCCATAAAATTTGCAAAAGTTTACATAAAGTTTTTAATTACAATTTGGCAAAACGAAGAATTCAGGGGCATCACTGCTAAATAACTTCAGATTTACACAACACACACCTCTCACTTTCGATGTCGACATCAGAAACAAAACCCCAGGCCACAGAGAGGAAGGAGAACAGTCTCCTAGGAGCTGCAGCATGGCTGTTTTTGGATGGAAGAGGGCTTGTTGTGACAGACACCAGGTCCATGGGTCGCACTCCGCCTCGACAGAGCAAGAAGCAGCAGTTCAAGAGAAGCGGCTCTCGAAGGCACATGTCATACCTGAGGAAAGGGGGACAAAGATGAAAAGCAATCAACCTCTTTCGCAGGAATGGCTTTAATTAACAAGGGAAATACTAGGAGATATATGACCAGTTCAAACGGTTTATCCACCACTAAGATTTGAAAACATGTCCTTCAAACTTCCCTTCAAACACTCATTCCTGCTTTTTTGCTTGCAGTTAATATCCAGATCCTGACTTATTGCCACTGCTCTCCTCACCCTGCATAATGGTTGATTGAGCCAGCCAGTGCATTTCCAGAGCCACAGGGCAGAATCCCAACAGGAGTTTTTATTGCTTGTTCCCAGTCTGGACGCTCCATCAGTCCGTTAATAACCTACAGAACCAAAGAAAACATGAGGAAACCTCCGTAAACCAAAGGCTGCAAATAAATTGAATTGTGCTCCACCTTGCACCAAGAATACCTTACCTCATGCAGCAGGCCATCTCCGGAAACAATGATGATGCCGTCCCATTCTGAGAGCGGTATCTCTCTGATCAGCTCTCTTGCATGGTTCTGACGTTCTACAACAGATTATTGAAGGCAACACCTATTATAATCTAACCAACACCATTGTTCTTTACTAAGAATCCTTCCAGGGTCTTGCGTTACCTGTCTGTATGAGGTTGTAGCTGATGTTGGCCTCTCTAATCATTGGCAGGATGTGGGTCTGACACCATTGCATTGCTTGGCCTCTTCCGCTGAAGGGATTGACCAATAACAGTAGTCGCCTGGGTCGAGGTAGCAGACTTCTTGAAAACTCTGACAGATTGAGAGGAGACAATGTTGTCAGGTTAAATACCGAGGTGCAGAGTTTCCGAAACTACAGTAAAAGCCTTGTACTTTTTGTAAATATTTTATCATATCTACACAGATCACCACCAGAACAGAGGCCTATTTTACAAAAGCTGGATACAGAGATTCAAGTATGATGATGCCAGACTCCACAGGCACATCTACGTCAAACCAGGTGTAAGCAATCATGTTAAACCCTGCAGCTATTTTCCAACAGTCCTCAAGGTTGATCGCACATTGACTGATTTGGCAAACAAAGGGGGATCGACTAAATGTTCAAACAGCCTAGATTATTCAATCACATTCACTAACCCCTGCTCTCTATTGAAAACGTCATAACAGAAAAAGTAACCTGTCATTTTTCTCAACTTAACAGTGAAAGCTGATTGTAACCAGTGTTGACATTACCATTTATATTATACGTATATTATTATATTACTCTTTTGCCCCGGCATTTATACTCTCTGTGGTGCAGTACTTTAAGACTGGAATGCAGGATACTTAAAAATTATGGTTGCTAACTCGAAAACAAAATTACTTCTCAGCCAGACACTGTTTTCTATCTTATGGACATAAATCCTTTTATGCATTTTCTTCTGAGTGCAAATTTATTTAGTAAACCTTTGACACAAACCAGGATGTCTTTTGACACATAAGTTTGCTCTAAATATGAGACCAATCCTTTTTTTCAAGGGATGGTTGGCAACCCCATCTGGAATTGAATCCTGGGTACATCATGAATGGCAGCTAGAACAAAATATTGTCAACCTGCAGATATGATTTATCACTTTTTTTTTGTCAATATTTATAAAGAACTAATATGATTAGACCAAAGAGGGTCTCGCAGCAGGTCAAGAGGAAATATAAGAACAGACTCCAGTATCTAGATGAAATGTTGACTATAATTTACGGATAATGTGTCTTAATGAAAGTTGCCTGCACAAATATTTGATCTTCTTACTTATCTTAAGAGTTCAAAAAGACTTGTGTCTAAACAGCGGGTGGCCAACCATCTCTACGATTCTAAGATTTTCATCATATCTTTGTACATACAGGAACTAGAACATACCAGTAGCAGTAAATCTGAGCACAACACAGATCATCTGTGAAACTGTCAAGGCTCTATTATAAAGCCGAGGTGTCAGTTCAATGGAATGAACTGAATCATCAAAATTCAATCAGAGGCTCATCTATCACTGAAGCAAGCCGATCAAAGTTGGACTGGACCTCCTCAAAGCCCAATCATCATTCAGAGTCCAGATTAAAAGACTTTGAAATAAACACCTCAGTCTGCTGCACAACCAATCTCCAGCACAGCTGGCTGGCTATATCAGCTTTTGACTCAGATGAACAGGATTGAACCCTCTTCCACCCCCTCTCCCATCTTCGTCACCAAGCTTCATCTGGCTCCTCCTCTATGCTGCTCCCCATTCGAGTGATACGTCTGGAATCACAATGCAGTTATGAGGCATCCCCAGTCGATGAGCCATGTTGTACCTGGTTTGGCCTGAGGTTCCTTACATAAGGGGAGTTTTTTTTTCTCTCCACTCTCCCCTTATGCTTGCTCATCATGGAGGTTTGTGCAAACCTGCGGCTTATTCTAGCTGGCAGCCATCTTCCAAGTCTCAAACTCTCCAAGTGAACCTCCAGCATCAGCCCGACACAAATCACTGGGTTTCACCATGGAAGCCAAAGCAGATCCCCTCATCAAACTGCAGTTATATAGAATGAACCATTGTTCATCCCATCTCCGTTCCATCACCAGTTTTAGGCCTAGGGGGGATTAATCCCTGTTCTCATTCATTAGCTCATGCCAATAACCAAAGTTTCCTGCATAGATCTGAGCACCAAAGATATAAAATATTGTTCAGAAAAAATTAAAACCATGTCCAGTGGATTGTTTCACCAGTATAAAATATTGCATTAATAAAACTCTTCTAATTGCTGTGTTTCTTTGTGAGTTTTCTTTTTTTTTCCCGGTTGCAGTGATGCTGAATTTTGGGAGCCAGCAGTCTGCACATGTAGCAGATGTCATCCACAGGAAACTGATAACAGTCGTGCAGGTAAATATTCAGGGAAAAGCCTCAAAAATGTATATGCACAATGAAGCAGCTGCTTTCAAGCCCTGACTTTAAAGACAGCACCTTTGCTTCTTTATCAACTATTTTCTCTTTTCCCTTTGACACAGCAAAAGTTTATTGAGGCCTTTCTGCCAAATTAAGATTGTTTTCAAAAACAATCAAATCAAATCAATCAAACATCCACCTAGAAGATCCTAAGCTGAATCAAGGTATAGGGCACCGTAATAATTTAAAAAATAATTACAGTACTTGTCTTTACAAAAATAAATGTTTTGTAAAAGAAGGCCGATTACAAATAATAAACGCAAAGAAAACTGAATCACTGATTAAACTCCCTGGTTTGATAAATAGAGCATTTTTAAGGTTTGAAGGGAACAGGGCTTATTTACAATCAGGTTAGTGAGACGCTTCGGCCGAGAGTTCAATTCAGTAGAAGGCAGTAATGTCTAAATGTTTGATGCCATCTGCCAAAAATCCCGAAAAGAAGAAGAGCTTCTTGTTTTTTGACATCTGCTGACCGAGCAGATATGACCCTAGGTTTGAGTTAGCCTTGTTTTTAGCAGGCTAACTGCATAGAATAAATCACTGGGCGAACTTATCCATTACTGCTGTCTTGAAACTGGTCTTACATCCTTATCTTGCTTTCCTGAAATAGGCCTCTGGTAGCAGACAGCAACATAACAGCATCTCTCTGACTTAAAATGCAATGCCAATCTGTATTAAATATCAGAACATCGATTCGAATAGTAATATTAAATCGAAGAACAAAGAGGGAAAGGAGCAGCATATTTCAATGATCCCAAACATGAAAAGATAAGCAGTGAAACTTTGTTGAGATGGGGTGAATTTACTTCTAAAGTAAAAGGAAGTTAACAGGATACAAAGAGAAAAAAAAATCCTTTAAAAACAGCGAGCTATAAACCCTTATCTGTTTGATAACCAAGTCTTATTAGTAAGGCAAAGGGAGAGAGTGGCATGCTAAGGAACCCTTACCCTTAACCAAATATTATATAACATTATAGCATATAATAGATGATATACTAGATTGTTCCTATAATCTGCAAATATATGCTCTAGACTGCGAGTGCAAAACAAAGTTTTTAATGGTTCCCTCAGACCTAAAATGAGTCGGCTAAAAATACAGGAAGGTCCTCGGCCGCTGTGACATTCAGCTATAATTAGCAAGAATCCTGAAAGGAGGCGTCAATCAAAGAAAAGAAAGCAGCATAATGTGAAGTTTAAAGTTAATTCCTGGAGCGAAACAAAGGTCATAAGGTACATAACCTTCAAAGACAAAGAACTAGGATTTATTAAATGGTCCTCTTTAAACAAAGCATTTAAAAATAATCAAAGATCTTAATGGACACAGAGAATATCGCTGCCATTTGGGGGTAGACTTAAAAATCAATGGTCGACCTTTAATACCCACTAACTTTATATACATTTACCATTGAATATTTTAGGTTTGAATCTACAATTATCACTGTATATTTTAATTATACTTATTTATAAAAAATTAAGCCAGTGTATAGTCTTTTAGCCTTAAAAAAATCTAATTGCTATTGAACATTTTAAATTTAATATATCAAATATCCCAAATTCATTTTAGCACTCATCATAATTTAGTATCAACTCAACAATCTCCAAAAAAACTTTGTAAGAAAATAAAAAATTCAGATCAATCAATAACATTCAAGTTAGATTTCAAAAATAGATTTGTACAGTCTCCTTTTAATGAAACATTGATGTTTAAAATACAGGGGCCTTAAACAGTACTGTCTATAAAATATCTACTATTATGGTTCGAATGATCTGAGGCTCAAGTTTGGATTAAAAAAAAAGGCTAGAAGTGAAAAAGACACTGACCTGTGTAAGCAGTGACGGGCACTTCTCTGAGCAAACACTGAACAGCAGCCGACCACCTCTCAGCTTCAGGCCTGCTTTCTGCCAGGTATGCCTTCACCTGCCTGCGTCTGGACACTCCCTTCCTTCGTTTGCCTGGAGGGTACCAGTAGAGCACGAGCAGCGGCGGTGCAGGAGAACGAGGACAGCTGCAACCGACCAGTTCAGACAGAGGGAGCAGGAGACGGGATTCCTTTGTGGGCCGTGGCGAGAGGCGCTGGATGTGGATGTGGGTGTGGGTGAGGGTCAAAGCGTAGTTAGACGATGAAGCTGGAGAGGTGGTGGGGGAGAGGCTTCCTGAGCCTCCTGGGCTGTCGGGGCAGCTGCCGCTGCTATTGTTGTTGTTACTGCCAGATCCCCAGCTGGCAAACTGACCATGAAGGAGGGCTTCTTCTGGAGAAGGGGAGCAGGGTTCTGGGGAACGCATCTTGGCTTTTACAGTGGAAGATGTCTGCCAGTCTGAGCAAGCAAACAGTACAAGCCTCTGCAATCAGGAGCTTAGTGAGCGACCGGGTCTTCAGGATTTGCAAAGAAAAATTAAAAAATATCTGAAAAGAACTTCATCCCTGAAATCACTTAAATTCATTCTTCATGTAAATTGGCAAAAAACAATAAAAACCTTCTGTTTTAGTGAGTCCTTTCCTGATTGGGTCTTCATTTGAACAGTTAACTTCTTTAAGTATAAAGAGACATTTGTTTCCAGAAATAATCCAGTGAAGATGGAAAAAACAAAACAAAATCACAGTTTGATATGAACAGGTGTCAGCTTCTACACTTTCCTGCAAAAATCTGTGGCTTAGACACAGAGATCATTAAAACGTAATTGCATAAGTTTAAAAAGGTTTACATTTCGTTTTAAAGCTGCCATTTCTTATAGAAAATCAAGGCAGCAGAGCAGTTAACCAGTATGCTTTAAATAATCACACAAAAGGAACAAAACTAAACCTCTTAAAAGGAGGAAATCATACATCAATAAAGCCTGAATAAGACAAAATCCAAAACACACCTTCTCTACGAAAGGAGGCCAGGATCATCAAAGTAATGTGCAGCGATTCTTTAAAGTATGTTGCATTACAAGTGCAGCCTGCAGTGTGATGAATGTCCAAAGGAGACGATAAGTGAAGCTTTCAAGACCTTTGAAACTTCTATTGCTATCTGAAACCTCTGGGAGACGCACGACACGGACCGGAGGAGTGACAAAAATTAAGTTTTTCAGGACAGTAGTGTTATAAATTAACAATTCTGTAGTAGAAAAAAAAAACACTTCTCCAAATGACACTCGACAAAAAATACAGAGAAAAAGCAAAGCAAACAAAGACACGGAACAAAGCAAACACACAAGGATAGAGTTCCAGGTGAGTCCTTAGTTTATGTCATCTTAGAGTCCTTTAGTGAAGCCTGAGGAGTCACGTTCCCTCCCAAACATCTCTGTTCCTGTAAGAACAGAAAGCAAAGTTAAAAGTCAGGAGTTACCAAAGTGATCCTGGTATATTCTTTTTAAAATAATGTTTAAAAAAAATTCTTATTCACCAAGCTAACAGTATAGTTTATTTCCATAGGACAATATCTCAGTTCTATCAATCAGAGTCTTGCAAGGCGGTACTCTGATAAGCAGAAGAGATTATAGTCAGAGCATGAAGCAACGCCACATCGCTCACGCCCCTTGACCTTAGGTGCGTCTGGGCTGCAACTGACTCACAGTCACACATCCTTAACCAGCCTTGCTGAAACACATTACTTTGCATGAAAAACTGCAAATGCCTGCAGCTTGTAAGCGTTTACATACTCTTTTGTTCCTTTGCGCTCAGGGGGTTAGAGAAAAGTGTCCTCTATCACAGTCTGAATCCTGAATCCTTCACTGCAGTGCTAAGATTTGCTTTATGAAGCAACATGTATCTGATTTTTGCAGCCACAAAAATATGCCAATTGTTGAGACACCAAGAGGTATTGGGCAAAAATGACAATGCAATATCATTGTGGAAAAATTTCCATGACATCAGCAGTTGGCAGACTATCATTTCCGATCATGAACACAATACCCTCAGCACTTTCTTTCAATTGGCACAGTTCAAAGGCATGACACTAAATATTTTAACCCAACATATACTGTCTACCTTTACTGCACACATGGATTTAACGATAGCAAGTGCAAATGTTATATTGTGAAACCACAGCACTGATACGGAAATGGTCATTATAGTTATCTTATGTTGATAAACACTTTGCCCCCTGATATGGAAGACCAAGACTGCCATGATTCACTATACAGTTAGATTGGTAAATAAATATTCATATTGGTTAAACAATGAATAAAAACTAATGCATCTTCATTGTATATATTATTTTACATAAAACATACTTATTTGAACTATTTTTTAGTGAGGCGCTGCTAAAATGATTAGTTTATGTTGGCGTGACCTACGGCACTACAGAGGTCATTGGTTCTGAACCTCAGCTGCTGACAGATTATATTTTACATTTCTTCAGGAACCATAGTGACAATGTCAATCACTTCCTGATAGACTGATGGCACAAAAATGGTTTAGACATTGAATAACTATTCATGATTTAAACACACTGAATTCAAACTGAAACAAATGGCATAAGCAACCGTTTCTTTATTTATTAAACTGTAAAATAGTATCAAAGCATCCAATTCAAGCGTGTCAGCAAAAAAGTTAAAAGAAAGTATATTGGTTCACAGACGATTATAGAAAGAAGTACACAAAATCCCAAAATTTAAATTAAGACTACCCAGCAAGTAAAAGCATTTGCAGACTTATTATGTTTTTCTGCCATTTTTGTTGCTTCATACAAACAACTTTTGCATCTGTATCAAACTATTTTATATAACAGCAAATAGTGGTGTTAAATAGTGCTCACCAGGGTCCTGATCATAATACTTTCATTAAGAATATAACTCCTGGAGTATTTCTGTTAGGACTTTATTACTAGGAACTGATAAATGGGTCTGGAAACAAGCAAAGGTATTCTGAGTTATTTGAATCATCTAAACAAAATTATTTCCTTGTTAATCCAATGAAAAGAAACAACAGCTGTGGTGGAATATGTCCATCGTTTCAGCATTATCAGACTATTTTATACTGTAGAAATACACTATAGGGGATATTGTAACATATGCATGCATTGCTCTGGAAAATTCCTTATTCATCATTAGCATTGGTTCTAACCTATAAAATCCGAAATCAACTTCCAGCTTCCTACCGCAGTCACATGACGTTGGGTAAGTTTTGATTTGCGATGGCATCATTTCGAAAATGGAGGTCTGCCTGGTCAGCAGCTGTGACAATACCAGCTGGTTTATAAATAAGCTAAGTTCATTATCGGTCACTAAAAGTTAAGTGTTACATTAACTTTTATACTTCAACAGAATATGCTAGATTAATTGATTATTTTGTATATATTTTTTGTTTAACCTCTTAACATCCACCTCATTTTGGGAAATTCTCGTCTATTTTGCTTACCCTAATGGAAAAGCAAATAACTTAGGAACTGTAAGCCCAAATTACATGTGCAATACATTATTTAAAAGCTAACACCCTCTAGTTTCTGAATATATAAATTAAAATTAGGCGAGTAGCACACAGACCAAGCTGCATCAGTTCAAACATGAGTCAAAGTTGTTTTTTATTCTCGGAAATGATAGGTCATTTTTGAACAGCAGTAATAAAGACATGTTTGAGAAAAAGCAGGTCTCATTGTATTACATTTGTTCTACATTATCATTTACAAAATCTTGTATTTTAATGTCACATCAGAAAATTAAGAGTAAGAAAATCCTTTAAAATGGTCCTGAAATATTTTAAATGTTGTTTTTATAACTCATATGAAAAATGGACTATGCACTATAAAAATAAGTCAAACTAATTGCAAATAGGACAAACAATATGAATACAGGAAGTGGCGGCCTAGTGGTTAGGGCATTGCGCTTTTATCCCAGAGGTTCTGAGTTAAAGCCCTATTACCACGGACTGACACTCTGGGTCCCTGAGCAAGACCCTTTAACCCACACCGCTCTCCAGGCACCGCAGAATCGCAGCCCACCGCTCACCAAAAGGATCAGTTAAATGCATAGATGGGTTTGTACTTGTGACAATGTAATGACAATAAAGTTTAATTCTAAAATTCTAATTCTAAAAAGCATCCAAGATATAAACACACTGGTAATGTGTTGCATCTGAAAGATAATGGAAATTCATCATGGATTTTCTTTTATATATTAATCAAAGATCATATTTCCTGAAATATCAGCAGCTATTTGAGCTTTTCTCTGAAATATATTCAGTTTTAATATTAAAAATGTTCTTCAACCAAAATTATATTGATTAATGCCACCAGAATAATGAGCCTTAAGAGTTTTATCAAATCTTACCAATCTAACAAAAGCTACAATACAGATTTCTGACACTAGGTGGACTTTTCCTGAAGAAATGTGATCCATGCAGTTCCATTAGTTTGTTCACACTTCCTTGTAGGTTGTTGTACAAAGAAATGTTTTTTGATGGGTTAGCTGAAGTTGTTCAGGGACAACTTTAAATATAGTCAATGCTAGGATTTTTTCAGGCAAAAATGAGCTACGTTCAAAACTAACAATTAAACAATCTTAATTTGATGATTTTCAGGCTTTGAAAACTTCTTTTATCATATTAAATAAGCTGAAAGAAACACTTCAGCATGGATTTTCCTAAAATTTCTACTATTATAAAAGACATAAGGTTGCCTTGGGAAAGAAATAAATACAAATTATATTTCTGTTAATTTTTTATTGTTTTTATAATAGTGTGTTCTCATGTGATTTGCAAATAAGTGTACAGCTGTTAAAGTGAAGCAAAATTATGTTTTAACAGGTAAAAATAAAAAAGTGAAGTGCATTTGTGTTTAGGCGTGGTAAATCAATATGTTGTGGGGCCATTTTTCTGTTTTTTTGTTAGGATTTGATTTGAATTTTTACAAGGGATCGAATTTCTCTCTGATTGTTTCCATTTATAGTAAATATTAAGTAAGCAGAGTAAAGGGGACTGAATATAATTCCAAACAGATAATCACATAAAATGTAGATTAAATAAATATTTATTTGCATTGATGCGTATGTTTTAGTCATAATAATATATTTTCAAGGCAATTAACATTTAAAAGTGTAATTCTAGTAAGTAACTGAGCTTTGAACTGTAAAAAATGACAGAGCCTTTATTTGAACCTGTTTTAAGCACTCAGACTGAGATCAACCTGGTCACATCTGTTTTCCGAGCTCTGGAAAAGTCTGGAAACATTGTGCAAGCAGAAAGGCAGACAAAACCAACAGTTGGCCGATGTCCTGATCTGATTAAAGCCGCAGAAATGCACCTCACTGATGCCCATTGTTGCATCTTACGTCCTTGAAGTGCAGGGCGGGGACAGGAATAATAACACCAGCAGGCTCAATCTGTCCCCCTAAACAAAGACACTACTGTAAGGAAAAGCGGACAAATCCACCGTTTGGTTCATTTCATAACGACGGGAGGAAAAAACGTGTTTTACAAACTTTAAAGAGGTATTTTAAACCCTTAAAGGGGACTTTAGGTATCCGTAGCTTTACATGGAAACTTTGATCGATGCTGACCACCTAACCTAGCTAGCCTAATTGTTAGGCAGGTAACTTCACCTTTAAATTTTCAACTGATAAAAAACTATTCGATAGCGTATAAATAGCTGAAAGCCTGTCCATATTATAGATTTAATGATAAACGCTCACAGATGCGTCCCCAGTTTAAGGTTAGCTAGTCTGAACTGTCAGCTCTGTCAGTTAGCAGAAGCCAGCGGTTAGTCGCTTCAGATCAAGTTCAACCAGATTTGCCACATTTGCATTATCTGATGTAAAAAGAGCCGATAAGTTAGTGATTTACCGATAAGTCCTACTTTACAGTAACAAGTCAAACTGTTGGTTAAGATGTACACAAACTAGCCTGTTAGCTAGCGAGCGCTGTGATTTATTAACCAGACAATAAAAAAAGATTTTGCTTTTCACGTTTTTTAACCCACATGGATTTATATAGGCTAACTGAAAGCACAAAGCATTTCCAAGACAAAGTTCAAATTACCTCATCCTGTCCTCGTCTTCGGGACTGTAAAAGTGCCTTGGAGCAGGAAGTGTGTGGAGCCGTGGCAGCTGCTGCTCTGAGCGGCGGAGAGGAAACCCAATGACGGCAAGGAAAACATTGGAACACCCACCGACATTCTCCAATCATCAGCACCACGCCACTTCCGGCTCCAGTCATTTGTTATCGGACCAACCGATGAAGGCTCATCCAAAGACAATCACGGTACAATGAGAAGCCCACAGCCTGGAGTATTTTTGGAAGTTTATTCATGTCCTAAAAATCCACCCATTCTTGAACTTTCCCAGTAAAGCACAGACACTTGTTTTTTTTTGGACAGCCAATCATTTTATTAATCAGATTGCATGAAAAACAAAAACAGACTAGTTCTTGTAACCACGGCTGCTTCTGCGACCACGTGCTCTCTCGAACTTCCTGCCCTTGGAGCGGACATAGGGCCTAAAGAAGAAATGATAAAAAATTTAAATTAATTAAAACACATTTAGGGGAGATCAAAAGTTCAAATCATCGTTTGTAGGAAAGAGTGAAAAGGGACTCTTCAGGCATCTGTCAATACATCCCCTCCACAGAGTAAAGAAAACACAAAGTTATTAGTTTTATTACCTTTTTTAATGTTATGATTTATTTGCTTCAGATTTAATAACTGGTTACCACCACAGTGGGTTTGGTTCCAATTTGGCTTAATGATAAATTAGGAGCAGAATAAAAATAAACAATGGCGCACCAGTAATTTTTCTGTGCTTAATATTTTAAAAGTCTTAAAATTAGAATCAATTTCAATTAGCAAAATTTCTGATTAAAAGGCATATGAGATACTTTCTGCTGGTAGATATATCTATAGAGAGAGACATATTGAACCAGACTACAAGCAGGAAAAAGAAGAGTCCCTTTAAAGATGGAAAATCGTGGTAAAAAACGACCAATTGGAAAAAAAAAATTAGCAAAAAAAAAACCTAATGGGCATTTGATTAAAAAAATATCAGCAGATACTTCTATAAGGTAACCTGTTGCCTATTGTTATGCGATCATAGAATGGTCCAATAATTTAAGCAAGTCAAAATACAGTGTAGGCTTTTGCACCGTAAAAAATTCAATTTTTTTTCTTTAGAAAAAGTGTAAATCTAAGATGTACTGACGACTGTTTTAGTCTTAAATACTGCAAAAACACAGATGACCTGTAGTTTAATAGTTGATCAAGTCGATAATTGGTGCACGTCAAACTCAAGGCCCTGCGGGCGGAATTTGGCCTCCAGCAATTTATTCAACCCTTAATAGCAGTAATAGTGCTTTATAAAATAGAGGCATGCATTCTTATAAAGTGCATGCAGTGGCTTAACTTTAATCTAAATGGGACCAAATCTAATACCAGATTAGTATACTCTTCCTAAATGAATAATGAAATCAAATTTTCATAATTACAGCTTCAAACAGCCCTTTTAAATACTTGATTATGCCCAAGTGACTAGAAATAATGAGTTTGACATCCCTGATTTACTGGATAAAAACTGTTCAATATATTTAAAAATTTTTATGTTAGTTTTACTGGGTTCCTCTGTTTAACCATCAAATTATTGATACCAACAGTGTGATTATTGATTTTGGTTGATGTGTGCATACATACTTGGTGTGGCTGTGAGGGGTTCCAGGAGCTTTTCCAAAGTGCCTGTACACCTCTCTGGCTTTGCGGGGTCCTAGTGAAGAAATCAAGATGTTAGCAACAGGCACAAAAGGACATTAAAATTCTCAAACAACTTCAGCAGTTTTACATCTCAAAATTTTTTTCACTACAATTATAGTGAAATGTAAAAAAAAAAAAAAAGAAGCAACTTTTGTTCCCTTTGACCTGAAGAGTAAAGGAATGATCATAATATGTAATTTTATGTTTATAATTACTCCTCATCAAGCTGCTTTAATGTTTTAAAAGATAATCTTACAATAGATTAACGAAATAAGGATGCACAGGTCAGTAAAATTCTAAACTAGATGAAAACAAGATGTGTCTTTACAAGATTGAGCGATGTGTGATTTTCTTTCGAGAATCTATTCTTTGCAGAATGTTACATTTTGTTTTGCATATTCAGAAACTCCTGGATACAAAGTAGTACTGGCAATCCTTTAACTAGAAACAGGGCTTATCTGCAGGTTACACAAATCATGTTACAGCACAATGCTTTTCTGGGTGTGGTGTTAGGATATTTCACTGCTTTTGTGGACAAACAAAAATATCAATAACCTACACAGATTCCTTAAAGCAGTTACTAAACTAAACATTTGTTTCTTGTCAATATTCTTAAACTGTTATTTTATGTTTTGTTTTTATTAGGCATAAACCTAAAAAAAAGGAATAAAAAGTGAAAGAAAAAATCCCAACAAGGTAAATTTAATTACTTTTTTTTCTAGACTTTGAGACCAAAACCAACAGAAAATGTGGGGAAAAAAGCAGCCATTTTTGAGTACTTAACAGTAATATGCTGAGGATAACTTATATCCAGCAACCAAATGTCAACACCAAAGTATAAATCTTGGATAGGAACAGAACAGTCAATGTTATCGCCTTCTGATTGTTTTCCAACTCATTAAGTGTGGATATAACTGAGCTAATTTCTATAAATCTGCACAATGCTGCCATTTTGGAACATTTACCTATAATAAATAAGAGAATATCAGTTACCTGACAGCAGCACTGTGCCATGTCCTTTGGGAGAACTCAAAGCCAGCTGATCAAATGTCATCACCTGCCCTCCTGCCTTCAGGATCCTGCGGCGGGCACCGTCAGTCACTCTGAGAGCACAGATCTGAGGAGCAAAATATACAAATTTAGAGCTACAAAGTAAATAAAGGGGTAAAAAAAAAAAAAAAGCTAAAAAAAAAAAGACTTGCCTTGAGCTTGGGGATCTCCTGAATCCTGATATCATCAGTGACAGTTCCCACAACAACTGCGACCTTGTTCTCACGGCCAGCAAGCTTCATCTTACGGATCTGGTTGGGAGACAAAAGAGGGCCAGGTTTAATTCATGATGAAAAACGATTTACAAGAACATGCAAGGCCAAGGGTGAACGGGGGTCTGGGTTGTAACATGTAAATCTATGAGTTTCATTGTGTGGCTTAAAACGATTTGCAATCCATCACGTTTGCCAATTTTTCTTCTCCACATTAAACACTAGGCTGTTAGTCATCTCCTTTAATTATAATTTATCCGGTCCAAGTAAGAAAAAAATTAAACACCAAGGACATACAAAAACATTCTGGAAAGCCAGATTAAATGACTTAAACAGCTGCACTCTTCCATCCGAATGTTTCCCCCCCTTCTTAAAGTTGTAAAGAAATGGCTGTTCCAACCCTTGCATTTCTGAATTCTCCAGAGCGGTTTCCAACTTTACAAGAGTGAATAAAGTGAATGTGAAGGTTAGCAAGCAAGTTTGATTGTGGCCGGTTTATCGGAAGCATCTTGCTCTCCCAATGGGAACCAACTAGTTTTTCCCCAATTAGGATCAAGTAGCACTTGGCAACTACACTGAAAGGAATGCTATGGACAGAGGAAACATGCAAGAGGAGGAGAGTTTGGTGTCGGAGGTCGTGGAGGAGTCTCCTCGTCATATATTTTTTATTTAGAGGAAGAAAGTGGGGACAAAGTTGTTTTGAAAGAGGACGCCAGACGCTTGGTTTGGTGTAGAAGGCTTACAACCGTACATGTTTGAGCCCTTGCATCGCAACGTTGCCAGTGCTATTAGCTCGAAAACAGACCTCCATTCCCATGAACACCGGGATGTAACTCGATGGTAAAATAAATGATTCTTATTTCTTATTTCAACCTTTGCGTATATTAGCTGCGACATATGAATCAAGGTGCTATGACAGACAAAAATTAGATTGACTGATGACCGTTGATATATCATTGGCCAAATTTAAGTGTACAAGCTGACGTATAACTAACTGGCCTGCATAAGATAACTAGAAAAAAAAAAAGATTTTAAGACAGGATTTCTTTTTTTTTTTTTATATATACATTTTGTAAGTTTTGGGACAATATCATCTGATAATGAGTACATTTATATACATGTTTAAGCCAGAATGATCTGACATTTATATATGACTTCCCTACGACTTTAAAGGTTTCACTCTTCTACCTTTCAATCAATTCAGCTACACGTAGAAGATGCAAATATAATGCAATACTTCATATACATCAAAACAGAACTTTTATAAACTTCTGACATTTTTTGCTATTAAAGTCTCTTAAAAAAAAAAAAAAAAACCTGGCCTGCTTTTTAACTTGCTATTAGAAGGTGTCAATTTAAAACTATGCTTCAACATCACAACGAAAATCTAAAAGGACAACCTTCTTTAAAAAGAATAAGTCAAAATGGGGCAGATGAGTAATTATAATATCCCTATTATAACACATTTTAAAAATTGTAAGCCACAGCATGTTCGACGTGCTCAAGTTCAGCAGATCTCTCAAAACAATTAAGGCCCCCCTTTACAACCCAATATGCGCCATGTAATACACATGGCAAAACTGATACTTCTGAACATACAAGCATCCATCTACATATGATGCTGCCAAGGTGGAGCAGAAACTTTCTGAACTATGTGAGACTAACCAGGCGGGAGATGGAGATGGGAGGCCTGTTGGACCTGCTCATGAACAGCCTCTTCAGGACCACCCTGTTGAAGGGAGCATTTGTGCGGCGGGCAAGAAACCTGTACAACTTAAAAACAATAAGACAAATTAGAAAATATTCACAAGACACAAACTCAAAGCACAAATAAATATCAGTGAAGCTATTTAATGGGATAAAACAGCGTGCATTTACCTTGACCAAGAGCCTCAGATAGATATCTTCGCTCTTTGGCTCTTTCCTGTGCACCTTACGGTCCTTGTTGTGCCTGATGTCGACTCCCTTAAAAAATAAAAGACAAAATGAGGTGAATTTTCACTTCAATGAAAAATAACAGTTAGGTTAATTAGTTTAGTACAAAACTTCCATAACACCACACTAAACCACAGTAAGCTAATCACATTTGGAATGATGTTTGATCAAGTACGGATTTCACTTAGTTAGCCGAAGCTAGTCTACACGTTGACAACAGCGCCTAGCTTTGATCCAAACCCACTGCTGTAAAAGGGATACGACATTTCACTTATCTCAATTGAACTTTGAAACGATTGTAAGCCGTACAAATAAGTAAGCTAGTGTTTAAAACAGTATCACGCTCACATAAGAGCTTTCAGTGTTGGCTTTCAGTCGGCAACATGACTTAAAGCGGCACCAAAGGTATAATATGGACGGGATTCACAAATGGCTGAAAAGAACGGCAGTTTTTCAACACAAAATAACTTCGGGTCATGTTTGAATACAAATCAGCAAAATTATTTGGTTTGACAAAGAGGATGGAAGTGGATAAAACAGCTATCATATATTACAATATCTGTTAGCTGTACCTACCATCTTGGATTCAGAGCGAAAAGGGAAAAGGAAGGGACAACGTCTCGCGATAACAGAGTGCTCTGAAATCTCGGCCTTCTGATTGGCTACGAAGCGTGCGCTTTCCGGTTCAAAATGACGGGCTGGAGCCCCCAGTGGTTGGTAGTACAATTTGCTGTA